CCCAAATTCTCCATTTCTAATACAATTCGGGAATCCATCCCTAATAAAATCATCACTGAGAAATGAACCACCGAAAAAGAATCCAATGCTAAATCATACAGGATCCGCCTATGTCGTCGGAAGAATGAGAAGACGTCTCTGCTCAGCACGAACAAGCTCTAAGACCTGGAACCGTCTGTTACCTGAAAAATAATAGTGGGTCAGGCCCACGAACAAGTTCTATCCTAACTACAATCCAAACAGAGACCCGATACGCAGATACATCCTAGATGTCTCAACCATATCTATATAGTCCGTAAATAGATAAATATATATCCACACTACAGGACTCTCACTAACTATGCTGAGGGTCTCAACCTGAATAGAAGGTAACATGCAATACGCACCTGAATGGGCATGACTACCTAAGCCTAACAGGGTATACCTCAACCAACATAGCTAGCTACGCATCCTACTGCATATACGCACCCTAACCAATGTAGTGCCGCTCAACTGATTCGTTGCCATGATACGACATAAAATTAGGATTTAAGTGTTTTAATTAAATCCCTACTCCAATTATATATATAAGTTCATTCCAAATACAATGTTGAGCCGGTCAACTATTCGTTGCCAAAACACAACATATAATTAGGATTTAAATATTTTAATTAAATCCCTATCCTTCCTATTATCAGAAAATATAAACAACCATCCAATATGTCGTTCAACTATTTTAGTTGACAGGACATGAAACCATGTAGGATTTAACTGTTTTAGTTAATCCATTCCGTATGTATGAATGGGTTGGAATTAGTGTTTTGATCTAATCCGTCCCTCCGTATGTCAACGTCCCATACCGGTACATACCATGCATATGATCCGTAAATGATGCAATATTTTATGCAGTACATCAAACACATCCATATAATCCAAATAGATAATAAACAGAATTTAAATAGTTCATCATCTATAATCCAGAATCCATCCATGTAACTAACAAAACAAGATTTAATAGTTCATCAAGTTAATTATCCAGCATCCATCCAAGTAATTGACAGAAAATATATATAATTAATTCTAGGCCAACATCCAATTAGATTAACAGAACCTAAGTATTAGTTCAGCAATCTAAGTCCAAATTATAACCCAAATAATTGCAGAAAGATGTTTAAAGGTTCAACAATTTAAATCAAAGAGTTAAACCACGTATTGTTTAACAGTTCAACGACTAACATCCAGAGCATGAATAGATCAGTTTTAATAAAACAATAACTCTATCATGCATATAAGTAAGTTTTAAAATCATAATATTGTCTAAGAAATTGCTAAAATTAATTCTAACAATTCAGTTCCTTTTTCCCATCAATAGCATGCTAGGTTGCATCTTTGCATACGGTTTTATTATTTTAGCACCGAGCCATAAACTATGCTACAAGTCCAATTTGTTAATTAAAAGACTCTCTCATACATCTAAAATTTAATTTAGAATAATATTATAGCACCTTAAATTGTCAAATTAAAATTAGACAACTTAACTTCCTTCCAGCAGTTAACCGCGCACCAGTTGTTAAATAGCGCACTGTTAATTCCATTAATACAAAGGGGTATTTTATGCAATACAAGACCTTAATTACATCCTAAATTAATTATTGAAACCCCCAATAAAGTTTTAAAACTGTTCAGAAACCCCAATAGCCTAAATAGTAGCTGAAAACTTACAGTACGCACCAAAATGGAAAGAGCCTGCTCTAAAAAAAATAGAGCAGGCTCAAACCAACATTGAGCCGACTCCAAAAACTTTTGGAGCAGGCTCAAAGTGTTTGGAGCCGCTTCCAAAACATTTTGGAGCCGCCTCCAAAAAGGGGAAGCCCACTGTTCCGCTTCCTTCCTCGTTTCCGATGATCTGCTTCGACCTCGGCCACTTTTTACTCTTCAGTTGGTTTCTAAAACTAATCCTAAGGGTCTTATTAATACCAAATAGCATCCCAATGGTTTGGTTCGACAATTGAAATTTATTACAGTGATTTAAAACCTCTACCGATTCCTTATGCGTTAACATACAACTTGATCTTCGATTTGCAGACATAACTACAGGTAATACTAGAACATATACAGATAATCAAAACTGATCTTAACCATCCTATATATATTCCTTGACATCCTAATCCCTTGTTTATAACAATACGAATTAAATCATTCATTAAAACAAAACCAATCTGTAAGCTTAAAATAAACCAAACACACAAGTCATTCAAGAATTTTTTTAAACAACCATATATATACTGATAATCAACTTGACATATATTTCGCATGCCAGATTAGATTAAAATTCAATTAAAATCCTAGAGACATCTAGGTATGCACAGAACACAGGACAAAGGGATAGAGAGAGAATAGAACTTGCCTTAACCGTCTCTGAATTTTTCAATGAAATCTCCGACGACCGTTCCACCTCTGTTGCTCTTGCTTTTACCCACGAGCCAACCTCTGCTCCTCTTCCTCCTTGGTTCAGCCCTAGCCTAAGGCAAAACCCTAGACTTTCTCCCTTTATCTCTCTTTGTAATTCTCCCTGTAACTCTCTGTTACTCTCTCTGTTTTTCTCTCTATCAACACTGTACGTATATAGGGTTCTCAACCCTTTTTGAAGACATACTACCGTATATATTTATAGGCACTAATCAAAACCCTAAACCTAATCTTAATCCACCATATAAAACCTAATTGAGGCCCAGTTTAGTCGGCGTGAGATAGTAAGAGACTAAACCATATTTTTCATTACAACTAGGAATATTCCATTAATCCAATTAATTCCATTCAAAAACCAATAAAACATTTACACAATTAAAAACTATTTAATTTAATTAAAGAAAACAAAAATACAAAGAAATAATCAGACAAGTCAATTAAATAACAATTTATCAATTAAATCAATTAAAAATACAAGTAAAGAAAACAATCTATTCAAATCCACAAATCAATTCAAACAACCCGTTATTCAAATTCCACACATAGCCACATAAGCACTTAAAAATAATAAAATAAATACTGAAAATAATAAAATAAATAATAAAATTCCGATTATATCCCTTTCAAAACTAGGGGTATTACACAAATTCACTGTGAAGAAAATGAAGAATTACAATGGAGAATTTTCTCTCAATCTCTCTCACTTACTTTTTCTTGTATTGGTACAAATTTATCTCTAACTCTCACACACTCTAAAATCTTATTAGAGTTGATATTTATGGAGTCCCCAAACTTGTCCTATAAGAACTTGCCTTTTATAGAATCTAAAACCAATAAGGAAGTTAAATCAAATCAGGAAATTGAATTTTCCTTCAACTAATAAGGAAGTTAAATTAGATCACGAAACTGAATTTTTCCTAAAATTCAGTACTTTTGAAATTTTCATATAATTAAATCTTTCTAAAAAATAATTACCTAATCATACTCCACAAAACCACAACAGTGTCATATTTTTTTGAAATTTGCCGTGTCGCCGTATCTGTGTCGTGTCGTACCTGTGTCCTATGTCGGTGTCCGTGCTTCATAGCCCACTAGTTTGCGTGATCGATCTTAAGTAGTTGTTGTTTCGAGTAAGCTTTTAGTTTTGAATTGCTATAATTATATTACCAATGTTCGACTCTTTGTTAAATTTACACAGCACACACTTTATTTGAGTTTGACTAATTTTCGAACCATTCGGCTTTTAAACATCCCACCATATTTATAATTTTATTGCAAATTTATATTTAGAAGCATTCAGTATCACATTGACAAACATCATGCAACATGAATTTTTGTTTTAAAATTCTCTTAATATTTAATCTAAGATGATTGCAAAAAAATATGGACTTAACATGGATCAATCTAACATTCATGAAAAACTTACTAGTGCGACCATGAATAATATAAACTTGAGTAATGATACTTGCACCGATTTGTTACATTGAATTACCTAACCGAATGTTACTGATTGGTTATTTATATACAATACATGTAAGTGTAGGACCCACTTCTTTATTTCTGCATAAATGGATCAATTAAAATAAATAAGTTTGGCAATTCACTATAACAAATTGCATAAATAAAGAAACGTGAACCTTCACTTACATGTATGGTGTATAAATAACTAATCAGAAACGAGAAGTATCATTACTCTATAAACTTTGGTCTTAGATAAAATTAGGGGTGGCAAATTACAACACGACACGAATCTGACACGAGTTAAAAGGGTTTGGGTTTGGCATAAACGGGTTTGGGTCATAAAAGGGTCGACGCGATTAACTCGTTTACTTAACCATGTCGAGTTAGGGTTAAGGAGTTCAACCCGTGTACTCCGTTTATGACCCATTTAAATCAACATGTTATAATCGTGATTATGACTTATGTAATATGTTACCTGTTTAAATCCAATTAGAATAATTAAGTCATTTCAATATAAATCTTGTTTATGCATTATGATTTTTCTCTTTATTTTGAATATTTGGGTTAATTATGACAATTTTTTTCTATTATTTAGTATTTGATTAAATATTAAATATCTCGTTTTGATAAACAGGTCATTAAACGGGTTAACACGTTTACCTGTTAAATAAACGGGCTGGGTTAGTGTTCAAATTTTTAACACAATTATTAAATAAGTTGGGTTTGGATTTACCTATTTAGTATAATACCCTTACATCTATACGACACGAACACGAATTGCCACCCCCAAATAAAATGGTGGAATTTGATAAAATTTGTAAATTAGTTTAGTGGTATGTTTAGAGCTTACCAATTTAACTATCTTCTTATAAAACATCACATTAATGTACATATCATTCAGAAAAAAAAAAAAAAAAAACTTATAATTTTAATTAACATTAATAAATATGAAATAATAAAAATATATGTTATTTATAATTAAATTAATATGAGTTTAATTATAGTAATAAATAATTGAATTTGGTTTCAAATCTATTTCTTTTCCTTTTTCAATTCCACCTGATACAAAGCGTTAAATATACGACCGCTATTTATATATTTTCGTTTCTCAGCATCGAAAGCCCCTCAAAAAAGTTCCCAACCCTAGCTTACTAGATACGTAGTCACCGTCTTGTTCTAAGCCTCTCTGAAGCCATTGAACCCTAAATATCTCCCCATCCGCATCCATCTCAGGTCTCAGGTCTCAGGTCTCAGGTCTCAGATCTCTCATCTTTAAGCAATGGGTTCCAGGAAGTCCGATAATTCTCACTTCGGAGATGGTGCAAGTCCTGGGTACGTCTTCTCTATCTACTCTCTCTCTATATATATGCATATACATATATATACACGTATGTTAATTCTGACAAAAGTGTATCTGTGTTCTTATATCGATCGTGTTGTGTGTTACAGTAAAATTTTCATTGGAGGGTTAGCTAAAGATACAACCCTAGGTTAGCTTTCGCTGTTCTCTTAGCCTCTTTTTTCAAACAGTTAGATTTGCGTATGAATATGTATTTCTTGTTCGTCTGTATAAAATATTCAGTTTTGATTGACGTGTGATGTCTATTTTCTCGATTTGTGATGGGTATGTTTGCAGATACGTTTGTAAAGTACTTTGGGAAGTATGGTGAGATAATTGATTCGGTCATTATGAAAGATCGGCACACTGGTCGGCCCAGGGGTTTCGGGTTTATCACCTATGCCGAACCCTCTGTTGTTGACACTGTTATTGCAGAAACCCATGTCATTAATGGCAAACAAGTAAGGCATAGCATTCTGTATTCTTTCTTTTTTCCCCCAATGTGGGTGTATATTAGTTATGTTTTGTTTGATTACCAAGAGAACTGAAGTAAAGATTGAAAGTTTAATTTGTTCAATTCTTTGCTATATTTTCTTTTAGGTAAAGGTTATACCCATTGAGCGAAGTGTTATATTTAAGCTTTTAGCTTACCCCAATATTGGTTTTACTGGCTTAAATAATAAGAAAAGAAAAGAAAAGAAAAAGCCCTAATCTATTTCTTGTTCAATTATAGCAAAACACAAATTTGGAAGTATGCATTATTTTTTGGAAGCAGAAATAAATTTGAAAATTTTGACTTCTTTATGAATTATAGCAAAACCACAATCCAAACAATGGTGCATGAGACTTTCTTCACCATATCGGTCAATTTGGAGCAACATGTCTAGCTAATTGATGTGGAATCCCAAGAGTAAAAGGAAAAGAAAATATATCTTACGAGCGTATGAAAACTTTAGTTCTAAATTTTGTTAGGATTGGTTTCTCTTTTGTTTATAAATTGTTATAGATGGTTAAGCTGGGGTAGAATGAATTAGGATTATTGTTTCAAAATTAGTTTGGACAATCCCATGATGTGTTTTTTTTGGAAAAATGCTTATCTATTGACGAGATTGGAATTCAGGTTGCCTTCTAATGTCTTCACTGTGCTGAAATTTCAAAGCTCCATCGTAGATTCTTTGTCCCATTTAATGTTTATGGGGAGGAGCATTGAATTTTGACTTATGGAATAATTTTTGAGCAGGTTGAGATCAAAAGAACCATTCCCAAAGGTGCTGCTGAATCCAAGGATTTCAAGACAAAAAAGATCTTTGTTGGTGGGATTCCAACATCTGTCACTGAAGGTCTGTATTTAATATTTAGACATTGCATGCCCTTCTACTATCTATTGTTTTGTTAAACTTGTGCTTATCTTTCTCTTTGCATTTGGAACAATGCTCGTGTTTAGATGAGTTGAAGAATTTCTTCTCAAAGTATGGGAAGGTGGTGGAACATGAGATTATACGAGACCATGTCACTGAACGGTCTCGTGGCTTTGGATTTATTGTATTTGACAGCGAACAAGTGGTTGACAGTATTATAGCCAATGGGAATATGATTGATATGGCTGGTACACAGGTGAGTTCAATCAAACTTTCCACACGTCAGATTTATTTTGCCATAGTTGTAACTGATTCAAAGCAGCAATACTATATTATTCAATTAGTCTTTTTAGTGGTATAAATCATAACCACTATTTTGCTCTAATTTGTGTTACTATATTTGAACGACCTGGTGGGGTACTATAACAGTTTAAACTTTAATCAACAAAGAGGTTGTAGGTTAATTTATTGTGCCTAGCTTTCAAAATAATTTCAGGTGGAAAAACCTAGGTTAACTTACTTCTTTGTTGTAGGTTGAGGTCAAGAAGGCTGAACCAAAGAAACCCTCAAAACCAGCACCTGCTCCTGCGCACGGTAGTAACTCTAGGGGGCGCTCATATGGTGATGATTTTGGTGGATTTGGCAACTCCTATAGCGGTTTTGGCAGTGGCAGTTTTGGCCCTGCTTCTTATAGGTCACTTGGAGGTCTTGGTGGTAGGCTTGGTGATTATGGTGGGTATGGTGGTGGTGCCAGTGAATTTGGTGGTCGTTATGGTGACTTTGGTGGCAGTGAATTCGGTGGTTACCGGGGAGATCCCTCACTTGGCTATTCTAGTCGCTTTGGTTCCTATGCTGGAGGTTTTGGTGGGGGATATGGTGGGAGTGGGTTAGGTGCATATGGCCGTGGAGGTGGAGGCTATGGAAGTTACTCTGGGGCTGGCTCTGGTGCTGGTTACGATTCTGGCCCTGGTGCTGGTTATGGTGGGGCAGGGCCATTGTATGGAAGTAGGGCAGGTTATGGCAGTGGTAGTCGTTACAATCCATATGCGAGGTAGAAATCTGTCAGAGGTTTTCCCATAGGGAGTTGCACACAGGCTTTCTGATTTTCAGTTCGTATTGCATCTTGTGGTCTGAGTTCAGTAGTCATTTAAAGGACATCTTGGGAGGGGGATCAGAAGAATCATTAGTTTGTCTTCTCACTTTGGAACAGAACCAGATTTAGATCATTATCAGTTATGAATTATATGCTTTTGATTATTTGTTTTAGCTAGACAACTATCTTGTTATGAAATATGAACTAGTTAGAATCAATTGTTTCGGAGTTGTGACTTTGTTGTCTAGGAGATTATTCTAGATGCTTGTGCACACAATCTAGATCTATACACTTATTGCGTGTGGCAAACCAATGATAATCTTGAATTCCTTATATGGGTTTCATTCATATTTTGGTTCTATGCTAAACCACCCATTTGTTAAGAATTATACTATGTAGTCGTATTAGTTGGAAAAATCATTTTGTGATTTGAATGGAATATGGATGGTTTTATATGTACTGCGTGAGCTATTTTTGATAGCAGAGGCTTTACCTGTTCTTGGTTTGATTAAAAAAACCCTTCCTAGACGTTTTAGATAAAATTATTGATACCCTTGAGCTTCTTTTTTGCAATTCTTAAATATATATTTTACTTATAATTATGATTAACTCAACCCAGAATGGTTGTAAGCGTTTTATCAGGTTACAGATATAATTGAGCTTTACAATTATAATCGTGGGTAATGCTTCCAATTGCATTTGTTATCAGGTCGCAGATATAATTGAGCTCTACAATTATAATCGTGGGTAATGCTTCCAATTGCATTTGTTATCAGGTTGCAGATATAATTGAGCTCTACAATTATATTACTGGGTAATGCTTCCAATTGCATTTGTTATGTGATGAACAATTGCATTTATTTATTTGGGTAATTATGTCTGAAAACTGTTCTGAATATTTTATAGAAGATTTCAGGGGGGAGTTGCCAAATATTTGCTTTATTTTCGGGGTGGTTTTAGTAAAAGCATTCGTAGTGAATATTTTATAAATTAGTGACTGGGTTAATGGATTGTGAGTTTTTAGAAAAAAATGCTTTGATTGTGACCTGTTTCCGAGGGCAACTTGTGACCCTTCTAGATATGGAGTCCCTGTAACAGCAGCAATGTGCCACCTAGCGAGTTATGTGGTTAATCACTGGGTGAACAATTCTTCTTTCAAGACTCTTGGATATAGGTTTTGACTTTTGTGATACAGGTTTGTAATTTGGATGCTCTAGCTGATGCGCAGACACGTGTAGGATGGGATGTAATTTTCCTTCATGATATTATGATTTTCTGTTGAAAATAGATGTGTTCGACCTTTTTTGAGGTCTATAAAATATAATATATATATATATATATATATATATATTATATTATATATGAGAGTAATTACAGGAGTTAAATTATATTTGTGGCTGAAAAATAAGTTGAATTATGTTTGTGGCTGAAAAATAAGTTGAATTATGTTTGTGGCTAAAGTAGGTTCAATTATGTTTGTGGCTAGAGGTTGATTGTTTTTGGTAATGACATTGTTCTCTATTAATATGTCCATCTCAAACAAAAAAACAATAAATATCCATATGGTAAAATGGCACCTAGTCACATCTTCGATGCATGGGTGGAGTTTAGTTTGAAAGTGATATAATTAATCCCCAAAAAAAGTCGCGTGATAGAGATGCACGCACACGTGTTTGTGTTTGTGTTTGTAGAAGTACCATCTGTAGTGCTCTCGCAGATTCCAATGGCTGAAACAGGGGAGAAGAGGGAGCTTCAAAGCCAAAAGTCATTTGGAGTTTAAAGTTGGTATACCAGCCTCAATTTTGTAATCAGCCATCTCCATTTGGCAGTTGGCAATTTGTGCCTTTTTAAGTATATCGTGATTAAATTTGAATGGTGGCTTACTGAGATCTATTTATTAATTTGCATAATCGAAATGGGTACTTCAATTATTCTAGATTTGGACTGCGTCAAATTTTTTTTTTTTTTTTTTTCTTTTTTTCATGCAATTCGTCATCACTTACGTTTTCTGTAGAGGGTAGTCTGTCAATTTAGTCGAATTAGATAAAAAAATTACATATGCATTAAAAATTATTATTTAGGTACAAAGTACCCTTCAAACTCTTATTTCAAAATATCAAAATATTCTTCCTAAATCAAATAATTCTTCCATTCATGAAATTTTAGAAAATCAAGATTTTTAAGTTGACTTATAACTTGGCATTTTTGCATATGGTGTATATTATATAAATTTTGTGCAAAAAAACTTTAACGGTATTTCTTAATCTATATCGGTTTAAACCTGCAAATGTTAATTTAGAAATATACAAATAATTTAGTGAAAATTCAACATATATAGAAATTTTTTTTTTGGTAAGTCAAAATTCATCCTATATATATATATATATATATAAAATTTTTTGTGCACATAACTTTAACCATACCAATATAAACCTGTAAATGTGAAAAATTTTCTATATATATAAAAAATATCAATACATGTATATAGTACACAGGGAGGGGGAGATCATGAAAAAACTAAATGGTTGCTTCAGTAAATAGTATATCAGCAATGATCATCCCAATGCATGCACCAAATTTTTTTTTTGAGGACTAACTTTGATTGTCTCAATCAAAATACTAAATAGTTGCTTCAGTAAATAGTATACTAGTAATCATTTTTTATATATTTATAAAACAAGTATAATTAATTGAGTCAAAATATTGAAGATCATCCCAATACATGCACCAAATTTTTTTTTTTTTGAGGATTAATCTTTGATTTCCTCATGTTTTTACTATATTGAATATTTTTTTTTATTTGTATAAGTTCTCGTGTGTGTATATGAAAGTTACAGTAATATGATTCAAAATTAAAGGTAAGATCTTCTTTTTCTAAATTTTTCAAGTAAAAAAGTTATTTTAAGAAAGAATTTGATTCAAGGGGAATAATTTTGAGTATTTTGAAATAAGTGTTAAACTATTTTGTTAGTTAAGTGTAGTTTTTCTTAAAATCAACCATAAATCTTTCTTAATGCAGGATTGATCTATGATACGCGTGCCATTTCCACCAGACTCTTAGCTATAGAAATTATAGAATATTTGGGTTGTTAGATTTTTTATATACAATTGGTCATATATGACCCGATGTCAGAAAATATGACCAATTTGCCCATCACAATAAATTAGGCATCAACTCCAAAGTTTATTAAATCCTAGCCATTCTTCACAGTTAAGCTTATGTCGACAACTCAGTGTCAAGTACACATACATAAATACATAGATATATCTATATCTATCACACGTTTCTCGCGAATCTTCCACTTTCATAATTGTCACTCTTAACTTTTTCGAGCTGATAAGAACGGAACCGCACCTTCGGGTCGTCTGGGAAGGCGAAGAGAAAAATTTCTGGAGAAGTTTTCCCTCGAAACAAATGGGCACCTAAGGCTCTAATTTTGGCAGTAAGAGTCTCTCGTTTTTTAAATCTTCCTTTATAGATTTGTTGCTTGTTTACTATTTACTGTATTTATATTTCCTAGGGTTTTTATGAATTCGCGTTTTTAGTTGAGAGTTAAACTCGATCACATGCATGATTTTGATCACGCTTGTTATACGATCGATTCATATTATATGATCGGGTGCGTTTAGTTTCTGTTTGTGTCCCCGAAGTAAGTGAAACGTGAAGCAATTTGCCACATGAATTTGAGTTGTTCAGTTTGCATATTTGATTTTGTTTATTGATCCGAATGTGTTATACAACAATGAAATTCCACTTCATTGCTTCCGTTTATGATGACAAAAAAATGGGTAGAAGAAAAAAAACACTACAAGAAATTTATTTTAAATATTGTTGATCATAAAAATCGTATTCCTGTCTCAATTTCCACTATGATTTTGACTAGACTAGTGAGATCACTCAATTGTTTCTTTGTTATTCTGAATTTTGCAAATAAATTCCAAATGGTTTTCTGTTAATGCCTCTGTAAAGCCGAATGAAGGAGCAAAATTCATGTAACAGACCTCAAATAGGTAGAACAAAGCTTTGTTGAGTTGAGTTCATTAGTTATATTGGTACTTTTTTAAAAAAAAAAGGAAATTTGTGTGTGGGATATCTGATCTCTAAGGGTCATTGGATATCTTATTACCGAACTGAAATTCACTTATATTATATTTCTGATTTTCACGTCCATATAAATACTTAAGGAATAGTTCAGGGATTTCTTTTTAGAATGTTATCTTTATGCTTTAGTCATTATACTGAAGGAATAGTTCGGGGATTTCTTTTAAGAATGTTATCTTTATGCTCTAGTCATTATATATTGTGTATAGGTTACATCACTCATTCTTGATATTTATGTCAGGTATCTAATTGGTGTGCTTTTGGAAAGGAAAGCTAATATTGGCATATACAATTATACACAATGGAAAATTCTGAAGAAAGTAATTTGAACTTGCCTATGATGGAAAAAACGGGGAGTAGTGATTATTTGTCGATTTTCACAGACCATGGATCATTAGGAATTGTTGGTGCAGTTACTGTTGCAATTCTTATACCTTTATTTCTTTCAACACTTGTTGGGAAGAAAAAGGTAAAACAAAGGGGAGTTCCTGTAGAGGTTGGTGGTGAGCCAGGTCTAGCAATGCGCAATGCTAGGTCGGTCAAAATGGTTGAGGTTCCTTGGGAAGGGGCCACGACTATGGCGGCTTTATTTGAGCAGTCTTCTAAGAAGCATTCACGAAATCGGTTTCTTGGAAGAAGAAAGCTGATATGTAAGGATTTGGTCACCGCTAGTGATGGGAGGAAGTTTGAGAAACTACACTTTGGGGACTATCAGTGGGAGACTTACGGGCAGATATTTGATCGTGCTTGCAACTTTGCATCTGGACTTGTTAAATTAGGTCATGATGTGGATACTCGTGCTGCCATTTTTGCTGAAACGCGGGCAGAGTGGCTCATCGCTTTTCAAGTAGTCTTCTAAATTTTCTTTCTTTTATTTATTTATTTATTTTTTTGTTTCATACTGTTCTCTACTTCTAGTTATTTTCATTTTAGTTTTTATTTTATTTATGAGTGGGAGGATGATATAATGCAAATTTGTTTTCTGATTTAAGGGATGCTTCCGGCAGAATGTTACTATTGTTACTATCTATGCTTCTCTAGGTGAAGCCGCTCTAATCCACTCACTTAATGAGGTGAGGAAACCACTTCTCATGCAATTCTTTTCCCCTCTTTTCTAACTTCTTATTTTGCAAGATTACTTTGAATAAGTTGTGGAAGGTGTACTACGTGGAGATTATTCTACTTGAGCGACCATAACTCAGATTATGAATAATATTCAATTATTGCCTTATTTATTTTTTTGACAGACCCAGGTATCAACGTTGATCTGCGATTCAAAGCAATTGAAGAAGTTGGCTGCAATAAGTTCAAGCCTGAAAACTATAAAAAATGTCATTTACTTTGAAGATGAAGAAACTTCAAGTGATTCTGATTTATCCAGAGATGTAAACAGTTGGACAGTTTCATCTTTTACTGAAGTTGAAAAACTTGGGGTGAACCACCCTGTTCATCCTAGACTACCTATCAAGTCAGATATAGCGGTTGTTATGTATACAAGTGGCAGCACTGGGCTACCAAAGGTTTGATCCAGCTTCCGTTTACTAAAAATATGATGTTTTTGTATATGTCAATCGCCAGTCTTAACCCATGCATATTGAATCTTGGTTGTTTGCCATTGATGGCATGAAAATGAGCTGGAATGTAAGATATATAAAGAGGAAAACTTTTTGTGGATGTCCAAATAAGATGGCACTCCGAAGCTTGATTACCATAATTTTGATACATAAAATTTTGAGTTTATGTTCCTGAGTGCATGCTTATAGGCAGATGCCACTTATTATTATCTTTTGTTTCTTCTGCCACCAGTGAAACTCAATTTGCAATTTTTTTTTTGCTTTCCATGCATGGTGTATGTGTCATTTCACTTTTAACACGGTACGGTATTGATAATCCAGGGAGTTATGATAACGCATGGCAACATTGTAGCCACTGCAGCTGCAGTCTTGACAGTGATTCCTGAACTGAAAAGTAATGATGTTTACTTGGCATACTTGCCTCTAGCTCATGTTTTTGAATTGGCGGCAGAGGTATTGTCATAAGTGAATTTTTAAATTGAGTATTGTGGGGATTATTATTACACTTGTAAAAGACACTGTGGTTGTCCAGTCTGTGATGTTGGCTGCAGGTTGTGCCATTGGTTATGGTTCAGCACTGACTTTAACTGACACTTCCAACAAAATCAAGAAAGGAACCAAGGGAGATGCTTCCATGTTGATGCCCACCGTCATGACAGCGGTTCCAGCAATATTAGACCGTGTTCGCGATGGAGTTTTGAAGAAGGTTTGAACTGGATTGACAGAACTTACAGTCACAATTTTGGTAGCGTAGTCTATGCATTTTACTTACCAAAAAAAAGTTTGACGCTTTTTATGGGCTGAGAAAATAAAAATAAAGTAATAATAACATCCATTCTTCCTAATTGTTCCAATGCAATTTAGGTTGTGGAGAAGGGAGGTATCGCTAAGAAACTTTTTGACATTGGATATAAGCGCCGACTAGCAGCTATAGAAGGAAGCTGGTTTGGAGCTTGGGGATTAGAGAAACTATCGTGGGATGTCATTGTTTTCAAAAAGATACGCTCTGTACTGGGGGGAAATATTCGATTTATGCTCTGTGGTGGAGCTCCTTTATCTGGAGAGACACAACGATTTATCAACATATGCATGGGGTAATCATTCTGCAACAATCGACTTGTTTGTTTTCCTTCTTGTTAAAATCATTGCCAAAATTTGGGAAGAGGCTCTCTAGATGCGAATGGGGATAATGACAATGACAACTTTTCTAGTAGATATTTATCTGTCAATTTTTATTTATTAATTTATTTATTTTCTAGCATATATCTACCTTAAGAGTTAGGAGTATGCTGGTATATTTTGGAAGTTAAATTTCTAGTCAAATAGGCGACTTGGAATGTTTCATTCACCTACCATTTTTTAAATTTTGGTCTTATATGATACTGACACCAAGAACTTTATTGATTTCAACATGCTAACTACATGAAGGCAGATACATTACGTGGAGTTTTTCAGTTTTATTTATTCAGAATTCTTGTAATATCATGTTGCACTAAGTAAGGTTTTGAACTGCTACTAGTCTAAGGAGGACAAACTCTTTTAAGGAGGGCTTGTGTTCGTCTTGGATATGCGTTGGACATGGACAATTCACAGAAACTTTCAAACATGTCTGACACATGATGGACTTGTTTATAATTCAAAAATATATTTATAGATTTCAGACACAACTAACACTTCTCACGACACACCAATATGTGACTAATGATCTTGTACATGCTGTATTTTCTGTGGCATGGGAAATCCAGAACTACTATAAGAAAAATAATGAACCTATAGATCTATATAAAATTTTAAAAAGTTTGGCCAAATTAAAAAAAATGTAAAAAGGTTTTCTTAGATATATATGTGCATATCTATGTACATACACAAAGTTACTTACATACACATATATGTTGTGCCCTTGTCATGAATTTCTAAATGCATTAGGGGTGATTATGTTTATATACTTTATAAATTATAGCTAGTCATAGGATATTAGATTTATTTGTCATGAAGTTCTTTATTATTATTATTATTTTAATTTTTTTTCTTCTAATAATTGAGGGTGGGGATCCCATTCAGGGACAAGACTAATCCCTTTGGATACCCACTATCACCCTAAACAGCAGGGTTATTAAGTAAACCCAAGGAATTCATGTTTCTTGTATAATTTAAAATTTGAAAAGATGTCTGTTTCGTTGCAATACCTTACTGTATTCTTGCCCTACTTTTTGAAGATTGGTTGTGTTGCTTTGTTATTGTCCCTTTTTATTTTTTATTTTATTTTTAAAGGCAGTATACTGGCACATATGTCCCTAATGGGCCTTGAGCCCTCAACCTCCATTTGGGGTAGAGGACAAACCACTAAAGCCACGGCTTTGGTATTTGTTAGTGTACTGACGAGTCCGGAAATATTTTACAATAAGCGCAACTTACTTAATTTTAGCACTTGTGGAGATTTGATGTGTGAAATAGGACTCTGTTAGTTCTTGCATGGTAGTTGTTGAAGAAAATGTTTCATCAGGCTGCCTTGTTTACTTTCCATGTTGAAGGGGAGGCCAGCATCCATTTTATCTTCCTTGTGATTGTTGATTGATTCTTATTACATTTTTACTCGTATCTAGGTGTGTCGTCCAAAATCATTTAGCAAAAGACCCCTCATACCTTGTTCCCTGCCCATCCTGTTTAACACTTTTCATGATAAAAATGGCATTAGCTTATGAAATGGTAAATGGATAAGATATTAGGGTTTTGGTGTTTTAGTTTATGAAAGGGTATTTTAGTATCTTTAGTAATGTATAGGCGTATTTAAGTATCTTTAGTAATGCATAGATGTATTTAAGAAATTATGCAATAATATATAGGGCAGGGGTACCTATCCCCGTCCCAATTTTTTTTTTTTTTTTCCTGGTAAGGAATATCTTGCTTTCTTGCTTTTCAGAAAGTGAAAGAAATGAGGATGTAAACTTGGATGATTCCTAGCCTTATTTAGTTTATAAGTAAAATGAGGCCGCTATTAAATGTGGTTTGCTTCAAAATCTTTGGTGTTGGCTGTTTCTTACAATAATATAACCCTAGCTTAACCCACACTACGAGCATTATTAGGTAACATCATGTTTAGAAATTATCATTTGATGATGTTGATAATCGCGCCACGCTAGCTGTCCAAGTGGCGCCACCTCTGAAAATAGGCACACCTGGCCAATACTTATTTGGTATGCCTCTGCCCTTGAAGGGACCAAGACCATGTTTGGTGTGGTTAAATGCAATCAAATAAGAGGGAATGGAATGCTTTTCTTTCCATTTTTGTGTTTAGTGTGGGCTATTAAAGGTGGAATCATCATTCTCCACCATTCTCGGAAAATGGTCATTCCACCAAAATCATTCCATCTTTCTACCAATGGAATGGGCATTCCATTCCCACTAGGATTAAAAAAATTATGCCTAAAATAAAAAAACATATTATTATCTCTTTTATAAACATCGACGTCTTCCCACCCAACATCATCTTCCAACCCATCACAACCCTTGCTCCGCAGCCATCATCACAACCCTTGCTCCGTCGCCATCATCATCTCCTTGCTCCGGCCGCCATCATCATCACAACCCAGCCGCCATCATCACGACCCTTGTTCCGCTGCCATCATCACAACCCTTGCTCGCTGCCATCATCATCATCACAACCCCGCCACCGTTAATTTTTTTGTTAAATTTATTTATTTATTTATTTTTAAGTTAAATTTCTTGATTCCCATTCCATGCTTCTTCTCAACATGGCGTCGTTTTCCCTAATCTTGCTTGTCCCAATTTCATTTCTTACGATTAATTTTTGTGTTAAATTTATTTTATTTTCTTTTTTAATTTAAATTAATTCCATTCCAGCTTTTAAATTGGTTCAATCAAACACGGAAATGAGAATCATCATTCCATATTTATAGCATTCCATGTTTGCACCCAAACGCTAGAATGGAATGGTCACACTCATTCCATTCTCACACCCATTCCATTCTTAGCTTCATTCCATTCCCACTCTATTTTATTCTTGCATACCAAACTAACCCTAAGCACCGAGCGCTTGTTCGACAATCATCAGTGCCGAGCGCTCGTCCGAAGCACCGAGCGCTCAGACCCAGCTACCATTTTGAACCTTTCAATTTGTTTCCCTCCTTAATTGAGTTTGTTGGTCAATTGCTTTTAGGGGACATTGACCTCGAACTTGAGGAGGGTGTTGATAATCGTGCCACGCTAGCCGCCCAAGTGGCGCCACCTCTGAAAATAGGCACACCTGGCCAATACTTATTTGGCATGCCTCTACCCCTGAAGGGACTAAGTATCCTCGAGCTACTTGTCCCACGATTGACTTGCTGAATGAGGATGGGGTCGCTACCCATCCTCTCCTGAGGATGCGTCCCTACCCATCCTCTCCTGAGGATGCGTCCCGCTCCAGTCGGATGGGCCCATCCTTCCTGCTCTTCCGAGGTCGCTTCCTGCTAGAGCAACCTCAAGCTTTCTGCTTTGTGAGCTGCCCTCTTTTTTGTGGATAGAGGGACCTTGAAATATAGACTCGGGATGTGGCCTCGCGAGGTCAAGAAGGCAGAACCTCGGAGTAGGCTCATTCCTATGTTGGGTTCAGGAATTCTGAGGGCATGTGGACAGGTGGCTGAGATTCAAGGTACTGCCTTAGTCCGAGGCCGATGCAAGGGGGAAAGGACATTCGGTATCCGAGCTTGAGCTATGGGTGATAAAAAGTGCATTAATTACGAAAGACATTTGACAAGATCTGTATTAATTAAGGAGCGCCGTTACCTCTTTGGACCGGGGGACAAAACGCCGCTGTCCATCCGTCAATGTCCCATCTATCGGGAGGGGAGACCTTCAAACCCATGGGTAAGAGCGGACTCACCCAAAGGACTGAGAGACATTGACCGAGGGAATGAACACTATAAATAGGAGTATTAATCAGCCTTTAAGGGCATAACAACCACCCTAAGCACCGGACATTGTCGAGCTCGAGTTCATCGGGTACCGAGGTCGGCCTTCCCTCTCTTAATCTTTATTGTGCAAAGAGTCCCTTGTATCGCTTGGATCTCCACTTGGATACTGATCTCAGATTTCTTGGCTTACGTGAAACGATCTCCTCATCCTACTCACGAACCACCTTCAACACATGTATATAAACAAATACAATAAATTAGAAATTCAAAGAAGAAATGAAAAGAAATTACTGGCCATAGAACGAACGGGTAGTTTTAGTGAATGAACAAGTGGGGTTTCTCACAACGGTTAGGGTTTCTCTCTCTGGTAGAATCATCATTCTCCATTCTCGGAATCATCATTAAAGGTGTTTATTAAAGGTGGAATCATCATTCTCCACCATTCTCGGAAAATGGTCATTCCACCAAAATCATTCCATCTTTCTACCAATGGAATGGGCATTCCATTCCCACTAGGATTAAAAAAATTATGCCTAAAATAAAAAAACATATTATTATCTCTTTTATAAACATCGACGTCTTCCCACCCAACATCATCTTCCAACCCATCACAACCCTTGCTCCGCAGCCATCATCACAACCCTTGCTCCGCCGCCATCATCATCTCCTTGCTCCGGCCGCCATCATTATCACAACCCAGCCGCCATCATCACGACCCTTGTTCCGCTGCCATCATCACAACCCTTGCTCGCTGCCATCATCATCATCACAACCCCGCCACCGTTAATTTTTTTGTTAAATTTATTTATTTATTTATTTTTTAGTTAAATTTCTTGATTCCCATTCCATGCTTCTTCTCAACATGGCGTCTTTTGCCCTAATCTTGCTTGTCCCAATTTCATTTCTTACGATTAATTTTTGTGTTAAATTTATTTTATTTTCTTTTTTAATTTAAATTAATTCCATTCCAGCTTTTAAATTGGTTCAATCAAACACGGAAATGAGAATCATCATTCCATATTTATAGCATTCCATGTTTGCACCCAAACGCTAGAATGGAATGGTCATTCCTATTCCATTCTCACACCCATTCCATTCTTAGCTTCATTCCATTCCCACTCTATTTTATTCCTGCATACCAAACTAACCCTAAGCACCGAGCGCTTGTTCGACAATCATCAGTGCCGAGCGCTCGTCTGGCAATCATCAGTGCCGAGCGCTCGTCCGAAGCACCGAGCGCTCAGACCCAGCTACCATTTTGAACCTTTCAATTTGTTTCCCTCCTTAATTGAGTTTGTTGGTCAATTGCTTTTAGGGGACATTGACCTCGAACTTGAGGAGGGTGTTGATAATCGCGCCACGCTAGCCGCCCAAGTGGCGCCACCTCTGAAAATAGACACACCTGGCCAATACTTATTTGGCATGCCTCTACCCCTGAAGGGACTAAGTATCCTCGAGCTACTTGTCCCACGATTGACTTGCTGAATGAGGAGGGGGTCGCTACCCTTCCTCTCCTGAGGATGCGTCCCGCTCCGGTCGGATGGGCCCATCCTTCCTGCTCTTCCGAGGTCGCTTCCTGCTAGAGCGACCTCAAGCTTTCTGCTTTGTGAGCTCCCCTCTTTTTTGTGGATAGAGGGACCTCGAAATATAGACTCGGGATGTGGCCTCGCGAGGTCAAGAAGGCAGAACCTCGGAGTAGGCTCATTCCTATGCTGGGTTCGGGAATTCTGAGGGCATGTGGACAAGTGGCTGAGATTCAAGGTACTGCCTTAATTCGAGGCCGATGCAAGGGGGAAAGGACATTCGGTATCCGAGCTCGAGCTATGGGTGATAAAAAGTGCATTAATTACGAAAGACATTTGACAAGATCATTAATTAAGGAGCGCCGTTACCTCTTTGGACCGGGGGACAAAACGCCGCTGTCCATCCGTCAATGTCCCATCTATCGGGAGGGGAGACCCTCAAACCCTTGGGTAAGAGCGGACTCACCCAAAGGACTGAGAGACATTGACCGAGGGAATGAACACTATAAATAGGAGTATTAATCAGCCTTTAAGGGCATAACAACCACCCTAAGCACCGGACATTGTCGAGCTCGAGTTCATCGGGTACCGAGGTCGGCCTTCCCTCTCTTAATCTTTATTGTGCAAAGAGTCCCTTGTATCGCTTGGATCTCCACTTGGATACTGATCTCAGATTTCTTGGCTTACGTGAAACGATCTCCTTATCCTACTCACGAACCACCTTCAACACATGTATATAAACAAATACAATAAATTAGAAATTCAAAGAAGAAATGAAAAGAAATTACTGGCCATAGAACGAACGGGTAGTTTTAGTGAATGAACAAGTGGGGTTTCTCACAACGGTTAGGGTTTCTCTCTCTGGTAGAGATGAAGATCAAGATGATTGGTCAGCTAGTGTTTCTCTCTGCGATCAAGTAGCAGATGACCAGTATGATGGGTTGGGCCCAACCGACTTCGGCGACTTGCACCCTTAGGTGTAATATGCATCTACAAAGTACTGTAGAAGACTATAACACAAGTTTCCATAAAAAATTGATATACCAAACTTACAAAGATCACAGAGAAAAAGAGAGGGACGGAGATAAAATTTTATTTATATTTATTATTGTTATTGTTATTTTGAAAATGTAGGAAACAACAAACAGGTATGTCATTTTCTTATGGGGTATTCTTTTATAAGTAGCAAATAGTTATGTTACTGGCACAAGGGATGCATCATGACGCCTAACTTTTTTAGGGAATGAGTTTGAAAATCTAGCACATTCGTTGTCCTAAAAGAACCACTTGTGCATACACTAGAATGAGGAGAATCTGTTGTTAAGTCAATGTGATGGAAGCTATCATAAAAGTTAAGTTTAGTTTAGTTTGATGCAAGATGTATTGGCCAAATTTACCTGTCCTCCCAAGTTGCCCTCATAATTTTCTCTTTTTCTTGTGTTTACTACCACTTAACAATTAAAGTTTCTTTGCACAACCTTCTTCAGGGCTCCTATTGGTCAAGGGTATGGCCTGACAGAAACATGTGCTGGATCTGCTTTTACTGAGTTTGATGACATTTCCATTGGGCGTGTTGGTCCACCTCTTCCATGTTGTTACATTAAGGTATCATATTCTGCTTGTCAAGAATTGACTGGATTTAACAATTAGATAACTATAGTCTATCAAGAGAAGAAATTTTTTCTTTTCTCAAAATGTGTCATGTAGAATGTCTGGACTTGCACTGGTTTTTATTATTAATATTACCTTCAATAAGCAGTCACAACTGAAATTTGGTGACTCAATGGAAATTGTAAATTCATTCTGTAAAATGAATGATACTTACTTTTTAAACATTTCATTAAATTATTAATACAGGTAACATAGATTATATAGTCCTCAGCTTATGATGATCCTTTTGACAAATGAAACTCATTTGCTGTGGTATTAGCAAATGGTGGACATAATTTTTATTTGGCGAACTTTCAACTTATCTATTGAGAAGAAATTCTTAAATTAATTTATGTTCTGAAATAAATTTCAATCTGATTTATAGAGGAAATATATTTCAACCCGACTATAGGTTTCAAACTCACATATATAAACGCATTCCCTTTCAGTTACTATATCTAAATACCATGAAAACAAACACATAATTGAGGTGACAACTTTAATTCACATGAGGTTATGACAATATTACACACATTCAGACACGCATTGGTAAGTTAAGTAGACTGTTTGCAATTCATTAAAGAACAATTTCTAAACTGGAAATGTACTAGTCAAATTGAAGTAGGAAACTAATTATAAGACCTAACAGCTCAACTCAACAAAGCCTTTCCCAAATACTTGGGCCAGTTACATGAACAGAACTCACAAAAAAGGGCTAGCCCAGTACACGAGGCTTCTACCATTGTCTGGGAGGGTCGGATGTATGCAGCCTTACCATTGCAAGTAGAGAGGCTGTTTTCCTTTTCAAACCCTTGACCTCCGGGTCATGATAGATCAACCTTTAACATCGCACCAAGGCCCACCCTTATGAACAAAACTAACCAGAGCCATGAATTTCAAGCTAATTTTGAATTGACTTAAGTGCAAAATCAAAGCCTAAATTTTAAACCATAATCAGTCACTTACATAATCATAAATTTTAGTTCCGCTAGTTCTTCCTCTCACTCACTCTCTAGCTCCCTCTCTTCTTCAATATTATAACAAACAAGAGGAACTGAAATAATAATTTGCTTGATAAGGCTGGCCTGACAATCTGACATTTGATAGCTTAAGTCCGTTCAGCCATTTTGTCGCTGAAGTTTTAATTATAGTTTTGCTTTGGTTTCTTTCAAGTAAATGTCCATTTACTCACAAAGTCGCATGTAAATAAGGAAAAACCAACCTTTGTATTCGGTAAAGTTGTGAAAATGAAGATTATTAAAGAATAATAAGTCAACTATATTAATTTCTGAAAAAAATAAGTCAACTATATTGTCAGAACAAAATCTCGTTTTCTTACTACAATTTCCCAAATTTCAGTTGTGATTTTTCAAGAGTTCAAACATTCTATTATATTATAATAAAAGGAGATGAAAAAGCTAAAGAAGTACAAGATAAAAATCCATATATAGGGTGTTCTAGGTACCTAGTATCATTAAAACAAAAAAATTCCAATCATCCCTGGGGTTATAGGGCTTAAAGTATTCCTAAGTCAATGTTGGGTTATTACAGCGCAGGTCATTAAATTTGAGTCGAGGAGGATTGAAAATCTTCCAAACTCTTCTTACTCCAGATAACCCAAGAAAACATAAATTTTTTAATTTATGCTTCCAACTTTTTACAGTAATATCAGTCTGTAATTGTTATTCCTCTGAAGTACACAGTATTTATTTTAATTTTTCTGATTGGGGACTAAATTTCTGAATGGATTTGTTGGATTTGATATTGTAGCTTGTCTCTTGGGAAGAAGGTGGGTACAAGATATCAGACAAACCTATGCCCCGAGGAGAGGTTGTGGTGGGTGGGTTCAGTGTCACTGCTGGTTACTTTAATAATGTTGCAAAAACTGAGGAGGTGTACAAGGTAAGTTTTGTTCATGTATGTGGGTGCTTGATATTGCAGGCTGTTACTTGTTATTACCGAACCCAATTTACTCTTTAATGCAGGTTGATGAGAGGGGAATGCGCTGGTTCTATACTGGTGACATTGGGCAGTTCCATCCTGATGGATGCCTTGAAATTATTGACAGAAAGAAGGATATTGTTAAACTCCAACATGGAGAGTACATCTCTCTTGGCAAGGTATGCATACAATCTTTTTCTATTTTCTCTTGGTTCTATGTTGTACACCTTTATAGGAGGTTTTGCATTTTACTATAAGTGGGGTTGCAACCAAAAATAAAAATAGAATTGCGCATTTAGATGATCCAACCCTTCCCATTTTTTTGATCTGGAAAATGAGTGGATATCCCGAATGGCTCTATTATTGACCTGGAGATTTTTGTGACTACTACTTGTATGACATCGTAAGGCATTGGCAGAATGAAGCATCTGTTAGCTGTGCTGAAACTAGTGTCCTGTAAGTTTTTGTTGTACTCATTACACAGGTTGATACCTGATTGCAGGTTGAGGCAGCACTGATGTCGAGCAATTATGTAGAGAATGTAATGGTTCATGCAGATCCCTTCCACAGTTTCTGTGTAGCCCTAGTTGTTCCCTCCCATCAAGTCCTTGAGAAGTGGGCTGGAGAAGGTGGTGTCAATTACAAAGATATTTCAGAGTTGTGTGACAAAAAAGAAGCTGTCAGTGAAGTCCAACAATCACTTTCCAAGGTTCGTCCATCTTCGCTCACATACTTGAGAGTTACTGAAATAGAAAAATCTTTATACAAGAGATACAATCATGTTTTGTGTTTTTCACACGGAAAGTAGTGACAGACGTTTATTGGAGTTCATGCAAATCTCTGATTCTTGCTTGCACTTGGGGAGTTCTTTTGTGGGGTAGTGAGAATTTTGTTGATGTGGATGCAATATTTGCAGGTAGCAAAAACTGCCAAGTTGGACAAGTTCGAAACTCCTGCAAAAATTAAGTTGATGCCTGACCCGTGGACACCTGAGTCTGGATTAGTTACTGCTGCACTCAAAATAAAGAGGGAACAACTGAAGGCCCGATTCAAAGATGACCTTGAAAAGTTATACGCATGAAGCCTTCTGACAGTTCATATGTTGCTCTATTATGTTTTTTGTTTTACTGATAACAAATTTTGGTGATTCTGTATCGTTTTGTCACCTATGAAAACGGGATTTTCACTAGTGTTGGCTCTGTAACCTGTGTTTCCTAATTAGAAGTCTATTTTGGGTGTTGGTTTCCAGTTATCAGATTCAGTGATCTGTTGTTTGGAAGGTGTTCGACTTGCATGTGTTAAGCATGCCGCCAGCGTTCATCCTGAGCTAGGATCAAACTCTCTATAAGATTCATAGTTGCATTACTTATAGCTTCCTTGTTCATTGACAAATCCGCATATCTAATTCTAATGTTCTGTTCATAAAATTGATATGTTTTTCTTGTGTCAGTGAAGCAAAACACACATGTATATATATAAATTTTTTTTTTCTTGAATGGTAAAGGAAATAACAGAACATTTGTTCCTCCAACAGAATCTTGAATTTTGATAGTTTCAAGAGTGTAAGGTTGTGGACTGCAATGTATTGTTGCAATACCTTCAATAGAATGTGGAATGGATATATGCTATGTTTTTGAGAGCACTGAATTTCAAGATGTCGGTTTGGTGCTCTCGGTTTGTACGAACGAGAACTGTTCCCCAGACTCCCCTTCTTCCTTTCTGTAAGGAAGAATGCTGATTCAATTATGTCTATGTTGAATAAAAGTTTCAGAGAGCACAATCACGCAGAAGATCAAGTAGCTCATTGAAGATCCATTCAGCTAGGAAAAGCAGAATTGATAAAACAAATAAACTGAACGGCATTCAACTGTAAAGGAGCTACTAATAATTTATACTATAAAACAAGAGGAATTCATCAAGAAAGTAATACAATATCCCTGCTTAACCTTCCAATTTTAGAACAAATCAACTAGCACAAAGAGCGAAAACCCAAAAGATTATCTTTTCAAAAAAAAAAAAGAAATGTATAAAGTAAATCAGATCAAATATAACGAAATAAGTAATAGAAATTTTTTTTTTCAATTTTTAAAAAATATATATAAAAGCAGAGCTTTGATCAAACTATAATCTTAAATAGAACAGAATGAAAAAAATAACATTCACCTTGTTGACTCTAAGTAATTTGAAAAAGGACTTGATTGTTGGGTGTATTTAAAGGCTTAATTGTTGTTGTTGTAGTTGTAGTAGTATTAACACTGTTATGAGATTATGATAAATAGGTTCTAGATTTAGTTTTTGGGGGTGGAATTACGAAATTAGGGTTTTTAAGTGAATAAAAAAAGAAAAAAACAGTAAAAGAAGGTTATGCACAGCCTGGAGTCTACGACGTCGTTTCGAGAAATTCTGTCATGTTTAAATTTAGTAACTGTCAAAACGACCACAGATTGTTTCCAAACCTCACTTATTATCAATTTTTCACTCCCTTGTATAGCTTCAACAGATAAGGTTCCCACTCTTAGCTCTCTCTCTAGCCATGGCCGGAGCTTCTAGAATCTTCCACTCAACACTCATCCCCAGTTTCTCTCAGAACTCCACTCCATCTCCACTCCACAAAACCCCTAATTCACACTCTCAGACTACCATCTCGCGGCGAAACCCAATTCGCTGCTCTATCTCTACCAGCGACGCCACGAAGAGCACGGTGACCCAGAAAATCCCTTGGGGCTGCGAGACCGATTCGTTGGATAACGCATCGGCGTTACAAAAATGGTTATCCGATTCGGGTCTTCCAGACCAGAAAATGGGCATAGAGAGAGTGGAAGTAGGAGAGAGAGGCTTAGTCGCCCTCAAGAACATAAGGAAGGGAGAGAAACTGCTCTTCGTCCCTCCCTCACTTGCCATCACTGCCGATTCGGTACCATTATGTTATTATAATGTTTCAATTTCTTAGTGACATTTATAATTGCAGTGTGTTAAATATCAGGTTCTTGAATTGGGTTCTGGAGTTAACTGCTAAATATTTTACATTTGTTAGTTAACAGTAAACACGCGAGAAATTTTACATTTTCTAGTTAATAGTAAGCAAGCCAGATTCGAATATCTCTGTGTATGTGTGTGTGTTTATGCGTAGATTACCTATTTGAGAAATTAACGGTTATCTTAGATTTAATATGTGTGTTTATGGGTAAATTACCTGCAAGTGTGTGTTGCCCAAGTGGTTAGGTTGCTCCCGTGTCCGGTAGCCGTGTTTGGGTAAATTACCTATTTGAGAAATTAATGGTTATTTTAGATTTCATATTCTATTATTTTCAATTCTTTGCTTTGCTACTTTTTACACACACATACATTTGCTACTTTTCCCTGCTCCTTTACACATACACACATATTGAGAAATTAATGGTGTTTATCTTTTTCTAAGAACAATTAAGTTTGTAGCCATTATAAGTTCTAATTGAACAAGTGTGGTATTCATGTACATTCTTTTTCGTTTGCGTGTGTTTTAAATAAAAGGATTGGAGCTGCCCAGAGGTTGGTGAAGTATTGAAACAGAATTATGTTCCAGACTGGCCATTCCTTGCAACATACCTAATCAGTGAAGCAAGTATCATGAAGTCTTCAAGATGGAGTAATTATATCTCAGCCTTGCCTCGACAGCCCTATTCACTTTTGTACTGGTAAGCTTTTGTGTTATGATTGTCCAAATGGTGCAAGTCTTTAAGAGCTTTTCTTCTACAACGATGAAAAGGGTCTGCTCAGGTTTTTCCCCCTACAGCCTTTCTATATCATTTCAGGACACGTTCAGAACTAGATACATATCTGGAAGCATCACAGATTAGGGAGCGAGCAATTGAAAGGATCAACGATGTTACTGGAACGTATGCCTCCTTTGCCATTTTTTTAATTAATGCTAGGTGTTACTTGATATTTTGGTCTTTGTTTAAGTTCTCATTGCAAGGCTTAACATTGTTTGAACATGTCATTCGGTACGTACTGATTAAGGGACAATGATTCCAATTTCTTGACAGGTACAATGATTTAAAACTCAGGATATTCTCCAAGTATCCTCATCTATTTCCTGAAGAGGTACTATCTTCTTGTGGCTATTGTTTTGCTCATCTAGTTGTCCGTAACCTATAAATGCTGATGTGTTTTTGCTAATCAATACTCTAGATCTTCTTGATTCTGTGTTGGTGGAATGTGACCCAAAATTGGATCTGCATTTCCAGGCTCCCTGCACAATGCATTTTTCCCCCTTGATTATGCACCTTCCAAAAAGTTAGAAGAAATGGTACATTATAAGTTATAACCACTGATTTTGCAATTTGTGTGCCCAGATCACCATCCAGCTGCTTTTTAAACACTATCATATACAAATAAGTTCAACAGACAAAATCTATTTACATATTTGAAGTCAGCTAGCTGGTTGACAAACTCTATTCAACAAAGAGGATGGCCGGTAGTAGATTTCAAGCTGGTCAATTTTTGGACATGAACTTATAAACCTGACATATTCTTTTTATTTTTACTTTGGATAAAAAATATTACTCATGACTACATAAGTTAATTGTGAATAATCAAAAACTAGAAAAAGTTGTTTTGATTCTTTAGTTTGAGTATGGATAATTTATCTTTTTGCAAGCTGTAACTGGATTTCCATGAGTGCTCTTATATGCTGTTTAATATTTGCTTGAATTTGTACTATGTGTGAATACAGGTATTCAATATGGAGACTTTTAAATGGTCATTTGGTATCCTTTTCTCACGCTTGGTGAGTTTCATTAGCAATGCGTTAAGTACATTCTTCATCTTATCTTTGAGTAGGAGTAGGGTTAGACTATCAAGGGTTGTTTGGATATCAACATCGATTAAATGTACAATTTTCCATATAGAATGAGGTCATAACTAAAAAAATGAAATTCCAAGAGTGGGGCCATTTATTTGAATCCTTGAGTCCCTTATGTTCTGTTTTTATCGCTCCTCTCTATTTCAAAATCCTAGATGAACTTTTAAGAAAAAATATTGACATTTCAAATTTTATTAAAAATGAAAATGAATCATATTATTTCTAATGTAGTCCAACACCTTCAAAAATATAAGCCACATCTTTGATATGTTATTTTTTATAAACTTGAATTTCCTTAAAGCTTAAATTTGAAGGTTTCCTATATTGACCTTGATTTGTACTACTATATTAATTCATCAAAGTGGGTTATGTTACTCATGTAGACTTCATTAGTGAATACAGGTCCGATTACCCTCAATGGATGGAAGGGTTGCCTTGGTTCCGTGGGCAGATATGCTAAATCATAGTTGTGAGGTATATGTAATACAATTGCCAAAAGAATTTTTAAATTTTTTTTTTTTTGGGTTGCTTAACTATACACGATTTAGACTATAACGGAGTGCCATGATATTGTATTTTTCAAGGTGGAAACATTTCTGGATTATGATAAATCATCACAAGGAGTTGTTTTTACAACTGATCGGCCATATCAGCCAGGTGAGCAGGTAAACGAAACTTATTAATTTTGTTATTGGCGAGTAAACTTTTTAATATTTTCTATTTGAGTGTAGCGATGCACATAAGGAATTTCAAATATATTAACCATCTCAATGCAACAATTATTTGTAAATTCTTCCCAAATTGCAACTTCTCTCTCTCTCTCTCCTTTTAGGGGGACAAAACATAGGATTTGGCCTACAAAGAGTTTTGGTAAAAAAATCCATAAAAACTTGTCTAGGGATCTTTAAATTCTATGATGAATTTATTTGCTAAGTCAAGAACTTAAGCGAAATAATTTGCTCTAGTGTGCTCCACACATCAATGATAAACAAAGCAATTCTTCATATTTGTGAAAAGGAAACATTTTTAAGAGTCAAGTTTTGATTGTGTGCATAAGAACTTGCAATTCTTTTTCGTCCAAAAACTGTGAAAGATGATATTGTGAAAATCATTACTCTCTTATTGCTTGTGTGACTTCATATAGGTTTTCATATCATATGGAAAGAAATCTAATGGAGAGCTGTTGCTATCATATGGATTTGTTCCAAGGGAAGGCACCAACCCTAGCGATTCGGTTGAGTTATCTTTGTCACTTAAGAAATCTGACAAATGTTACAAGGAGAAGGTGGAAGCTCTGAAGAAGCATGGTTTGTCGACGTGAGTGCCTCGTAGATAGATGTAGTCATGTTATGCTGGATCAATTCCTATTAATAAATCATGAATGTTCACAAATTTTGGTGTGATTTTGGAAGAGCTCCATTTATCTCAAAATATTGATATCCTAATATCACTTGGATTAGGCACACACCCATTATGTGCAATTACGCAGCTCTCTTTTCTTTATCTCCCCATAACATAGGATCCCCAGACGTGATATCGGCTCTCTCTCCTTTAAAAGATGTTATTTGTCTGCCTTCAATTTACTTCTTTGAATTAAATGCCTAATCATTATTTGTTTTAATTCAACAGGTCACAGTGTTTTCCTTTACAAATCACCGGTTGGCCACTGGAGTTGATGGCATATGCTTATTTAGGAGTAAGCCCCCCAAGTATGAACAGGCAGTTTGAAGAGGTCTGGCTGGTTTCGAATCCTAACTAGACAATCCATTATTCAATAGGGATGGTTTATTTCCACAGCCTAAAGGGTTGCATCTGAATCTCTCCAACTCACATATGTTGTATACGAGTGGGAGGACTGTGGATGCCACCAAAAAGGCTGCAGAAATAGCATTTCATATTAAAAATCTTACTAGGGTTCTCCAATAATTTATTTTAGATGGCTGCTGCGGCGAGAATGTCCAAGAAGGATATCAGATATCCTGAAATAGAAGAACAGGCTCTGCAATTTATTTTGGATAGTTGTGAATTCAGCATTTCAAAGTACTCCAAATTCCTTCAGGTAAAGGAAGTTTTTATTAGTTTTGTTGTTGTTGTTTTAGTTTGCAATTTGTGTGAAGCGATTTATGATACAGAAAATCTGTGAGTTAATAGCATAAAATGAGAAAAATATCGCTGTATTTCTTTACATTTTAGTCTCAAAGAATTATACTAAAATCTTTTTGATATTTATGTTCATCGATTTGATTTCAGTCTTAATTCTTCCTTACATCTCACAACAGGCAAGTGGATCAATGGATTTGGATGTGACGTCTCCAAAGCAGCTCAACAGAAAACTGTTTTTGAAACAACTAGCTGTAGATTTGTGTACTAGTGAAAGAAGGATACTGTTCCGTGCACAATATGTAAGGATACAGCTCTTCTGGTTTTACAGATTGATAATTCTCTCTAGCTCATTTAAATTGAGGTGTTTTGTACAAAATTTACTTAAAAACTGTTGCTTAGACCCTTTCCTGTGGTCATAATCCATCAACAGTCTGGATATAAAACAATTTAGACCATAGCCTCTCTCCATTGAATGCTTCTTTGTCTAATTACCAATCAGAGTTGCTGTCTCATGGCACAGACGCCACTTTTGTAATTTTCACAGAAAAACATGTGGTTTTCAGTGATGTACCAGTTATATTCTTCAGAGTCCGTCCACACTGTGAAGTGATATGCTGTATTTTGGTAATCAGATAACCCGTAAGGAGTGAAGCCATAAATTTAGGACATTTCATGTTAGTAATCCCTGCTCGCTATAAACCCTTCATTTAATTAACTGTAAGCATTGAGCATCATGTATTTGCATGTGCCTGTCCAAGTGCTACACACATGCTCATATTACAATATGCATGTAGTATGTTCATCAATCGTCCTTCATTTAGTCTTTCTAACTATAATTTGACAGATACTAATCTGGTTAATCTGTTTGATAATGCTTTTGTGGATGACACCAGATACTGAGGAGGAAATTAAGGGATATAAGGAGCGGTGAATTGAGAGCTCTTACAATCTTTGAAGGCTTCAGGAAGCTTTTTAAATGAATTACTCAAAGAATAAAGTACATATAGTTCTGAAATGAACATTTGATCCTGTTATTGTTGAGTACCTTTTATCTGGGAAATTCACTTCATCAAAATATTGCATGTTCATTGTCTGTGTTATGTGCTGTAAGTTTCCTGTTCATAGTTGACTAGTTTGGGTTAAGTCTTTGTTGAGTCGAGTCGATATATGCATGCTGGCACAGTGACACTTCTGTTCTGTTTGAATGAAGGTGGTAATGCATGAACATTTCAGCTAGACCTGGCTCAAGGTTATCTAATGTCGTGTTTCCGTAGTTCACTGTTTGTAATGGTGAAGAATCATAATTAAATAGAAGCTAAAATTCTTTGAGGAGTTCTTGGAGGCCACATTTTGGTAGAAAACAACTTCCTTTTCCAACCTTGTCACAATTCTTAGAACTGTAAACCCTAGAAAGACACAAAAAGAAAGAAATAAAATATACTATCAGATTATCATTCATTTATTGATTTTTTTTATCTAATTGCGCAATCGGTTATTTACAATATTCATAGCACATGTCCTCGCAGCAGTGAGAGTTGCAACTTGCAAAGGGTATGATTAATGTCAATGTCACGAATAAACCAACTAATGCATCTTGTCTTTTTTGGTTTCAACCATTATTTATTTATTTATTTTTGTGCAAGATCACCAATTTCAATACAAGTTTCACCAATTTCAATACAAGTTTCATGTTCATTAATCAAGTTTCATGTTGCAACTAAAAGAATATTGTTGGGATAACATTGCGCAGGATAAATGAATCATCTAGACACAAGTATGTCATGCAAAGTAACAACAAAAAAAATACTATTTCACTTTTAAAGTTGCATGTATATAATGGCATAAAATTACCCAATACGATAATAAAAAGAACGATTGAGTTAGAACTAAGAATTTCAGCAGAGGCATATTTTTATAGTAGGCTCATTTGACATTTATGAAATTTTATTGTTATTTGTTGTTCCAAAATTTGGAGGGCATTGCAAAAAAAAAAATTACTTCAAGAAATCTGATTCAGAAGGAATTGACATGATCATTTTTTATTTGGTTTTTTTTTTTTTTTTTTTTTTGAAGGTTAAACAATCACACACGCTCATGCTTCCACTGAAGCTCAAATACCCGACCTTTCCTTTGGTTTTGAAATTTGATCAAATTGCTCTTAATCAGTGTCTCTCCTGGTGTATGATTGCAGAGAAGGATAGAGTTCACTAGCATTCCTCCTTTTCTTCCGAGTTGATTAGAATCAAGAAAATTAAGCTCCGGTCAGTGCAACGTTTATTCTGCCAGAAGTAATCGGCTTAATGTTTGCAAGTTCGGACTTGGCAGCGCGTCCATTGTATGTCAGCTGAATGTTACCTAACTCCACATTTTCGCACGGCAGAGCACTGCTACAAACAAGCTTGACACCAACTTCGGTTGACGAGCTGCCTTTAATGTTTTTGAAGCTCACTTTGCTGATCTTAACTTTAGATGGAGGCTGAAATTAAACATCGAAAACGATTCGCAAATCAACGAAATGGTTAAATTTCTTTGTTTGTCAAAAAAGAAAACAATATTGATTGATTTTTAGTATAAGTCGAAGTATACCTTGGGTGGGCATTTTAATCTGACATCGCAGTAGTTTTGATTGATGACGATGGGGTTCCCAACATTTGTCATGGTAATATTCTCGAAATGCATATCAGAGGCAGTGCTAGGAGGGGATCCAGGCCATGTCTTTATTCTTACTCCGTTCATTGTTTTGCTGATGCTGCAGTCCTTGACTATGATTCCGGAAACAGGTTGCTCATTTGCGTACTTGCCGAGACTCCCAACGCTGATGCCATGGCCGGGTCCGCAGGTCACTCTTTCGACCTTAACTTGTTGGGCTCCGTCGCCAATGGACACACAGTCATCCCCGGTCCCTATTCTCGAATCGAGGACTTTTATGTTGATCGAACGTCCAATGTGGATTCCATCAGTGTTTCGGCTAGCTTCTGGTGCAACAATGGTGAGTCTTTGAAAAGTCACGTCATTGCCTCCCAAAACAGTAATATGAAACTGTTTGGCGTCCTTGGAAGTTATGTCATGGATCACAGCATTCTTTACGAAGTTGAACCTTATACTCTGTTATGCATGGAAGAACTCATTAATTCGAATAGAATTGATGTTGGAAATTTAAGGATAAGAATATTTATATGAATCTGCTTACGGTGGGACGTTTGCATTTCGTGTTTGTGCTACAATCAATAGTTTTTTTCCAAGCATCGGCACCCATGCCATCGAAAATTCCACCACCGGATAGGGTGAAGCGATCAATTCTTTGGAAAGCAACCCAGCTCTCAGTAGTGATTTGACTGAGAGGAGGGGCCTTCAGGGTGCCTCTGAGCTGAACCCCGACAGGAGCAACGCAAGGACCTTGAATGATCACCGGACTTAACGGATATGTGCCTGCTGGAATCATGACCGTGCTTGGAGTTCTCGACGAACATGCCAAACTCCAAGCTTTCAACAGAGCCTAGAATTCAAGCATATCAGTAATGAGTGATTGAAACAAGATTATTTGGAATTCATATTTTCTATGTATATGTAGAACTCACCGGCTTTAAATCAGCGTTCGGCCTGGCACCATATTTTGTTACATCGAAAACGGCTCCTTCTGCAACATGTGCTAGAATTAGCAGCGCAGAAATTGCCTTAAGACTTGATCTCAAACTCATCTTCTTCTTCTTCTTTTTTTTCTAGCTTTATGTGTTGGTTAAATTTGTTGACTTGAATGGATATGGTGAAATCCAATCTTCTTATGGAGATATTTATAGTGTTAAATGGAATCTTATCGCCAGTAAAATCCTCAGCCAATTTTAGCAAATTCGAAGTATGAATTTGGTTGTAATATCCTGTAATGTACCTTAATCAGGGTGTAATATGTTGGCTCAAATTCCTAAATTAAGCGTTGTTTTCTTGTAACTATGTTTATACTACTATTTTTATTGATTTGATTTTTGTTGTTTTTAGATTGTCTTTGGAGATAAACGGTTGGTACAAAATTTTGCATGAACATAAATTTATTGACTGTCAGTTTACTGTTGCTAATAGGGATGACAACATGGCGGTTTTGGATTGATGTACCCTCCTGGTCACCCGTTCTGTTTATAAATTGAAAATTAAAAAAACAATCAACAGTTTAATATAAAATTCAAAATTACAAACAATCCATACGGCAAAAGTACCAACACACTAAGACTAAACAAGCTAAATTACATTGTTCCAAACCAAAATATATAAAAAATAGTGTTAACTATTATATATACTAATACAAACTAGGGTAATTTTAGTAATTTACACACTTATACGGGCAGGGGCCTGCCCCCACCACAAACTCGCGCTAGTTTTTACAACTAAACCTCATCCCCGCCCAAATAACTTAAATCATTTCCCAGGCAAATTGCCATCCGTAGTTGTCAAGCACGGAGCCAAAAATTTATTTTGGAGGGAGAGGGTAATGAGCATGATCAATTATTATTATTATTATTTTCCTTCCAATAAATAATGCATCAAAACAGCGAAGTTAAAAAAATAGAATTTTAGTACTCAAGATTCAAATATCATATCAATATTCTAAAAAATTATATAGTGAAAAAAGTTCAAAAATATAAAATACAAACATTAAGACCATAAAATTCTTGTAAAATTTAAACAAAACAAAAAGAAGATAAAAGAAAAACACAAAAAATAATCAACAAATCATTGAAATGGTTAAATTTCTTTGTTTGTCAAAAAAGAAAAACGAATTGGAGGAATGACCCTTCACTTGTATAGATCAGAAAAAAACACATTATTTTTATGCTTCATTTGTAGAAATGAAGAAAGAGTGGTGGAGGAAAGATAAAAAAAGTACAAAACAACTTTATTTTTTTTTTCAAATTTTTATTAGTCTAAATAGGACGGAAGAGAGCAAGAAAACAAGTTCTTTCCTATGATTATTGTAAATATTTTAAATTACAATACCATCTTTTGTAATATTAAAAAAAAAAATTCAGAAAAAAAGTGTGTAATTGAAATAATGATAAAAATAATTTAAACCCCCTTTTTTTTCTTTCCCCATAACAAACAAATTAAATGTGGTCTATTTTCTCTCTCTTTCATGCAACGCTTCGCTTGAAGTAAAAAAATTCATATCACAACAATTCAACTGAACGGTCTTATATCTGCGTGTATATATATATAATATGCGACATTTTGATCCGAGACAGCACAGTAAATATACAGTATTCAGAAACGATTCAAGACTCTCAACTAACAGATATCAGAAAAAACGATGTGTCCTGGCGACGAATCGGCCGACATTTCAGCGACTGAGCTGGAGTTCCGATCAACAGCGGACGACGCTTGGTACATCGTCCAAGTAGTTCTCCAAACCGAGACGTTCGTCGTCAAGTTTTCAGAATTCCCCGAGTCAATCGACAAGAGAGTTAGCGCCGCCGATTTCCAGACCCTCCAAGCCGTCCACGACTTTGTTCGGCGCTTTCGACCATTTTCGGTTCAGTTACAGGACAACCAGTGCTCCAAAATTGTGAAAGGCTTGACAGTCTGTGCCCCATTCAAATTCAAACACCACGACATTCGCTTCTATGACGCCGTCGTCGAATCGGTTAGTCTAACCTCTTCATGACGCCAAGATTTCAGCCGGAATGACTAATAATTTATAAGAAGACATATGAACATGATTATTTGCCTAAAAAATTATTAGCTTGTCTTTTTGAGTTTTAAATATTTAAGTTTATAATTTTAAACTATATGTAAAGATGCAAAATGTATTGCTTAAAAAAGAAAAATGAATACTTATTTTGGAACAAACAAACAAAAATTAAAATTATGACACTTATTTTAGAACATTGGGACTTTGGGAGTATTATACATTGTAGTTATTAATTTCTAGAAAATGGCTATTTAAAATTCGTTCTTTGATTTTTAGGCCAATTTTATATCTAAGTATCGATCTAGAATTGATATTTATGATTATAACACTTCAACTTTTTCACCCCCAAGGACAAAACCCCTACTTTATATCATGTTCATTATGAACATTTGGCTTTATTTATGTAGCTATTTTTTTATTTTGAAAAATAATATATAGTTGGATGATTAATCTGTCTGTTTGATGTAAATAAAGGCACGGTGGGCTGACATGGCCCCATTTTTATACAAACAACCAGAGTTGTTCGGCTGCATGACTTTGTATCATGACATTTTTTTGGAACTTCAAATTTCATGACTTTGTACGGTGATATTTATTTTGGGACTTCTAATTTATATTTGGTATTCGTTTTGAATACCCAAAATTTAGTTATTATTGATTCTTAGACTTTCTGCTAGGGGCCACTAATTGAATTAGTTATCAATCATAATCCAATTGGTTTCAATGGCTTGAAAAAATCTTAGTCCATCACAAATTTATCAAATAATAGATTGGATCGAATTCGTGAAATGACGGATCAATTTGAGTTTTTCTTAAATTGTCCAATATTATTTACTTTTTTAACCATAATGATAAAATTTTAATTTATCAATATTAATTCATATATTTTAATAAAATGATCATTAATTAATTAACCTCAATTCCTCCTATATATATTAACCATAATGATAAAATTTTAATTTATCAATATTAATTCATATATTTTAATAAAATGATCATTAATTAATTAACCTCAATTCCTCCTATATATATATATAAATGTTGTACACTTGGATTTGATAGGGGCACTATAAGGAACATTCATTTGCCAAAAAAAAGTTGGTGTATGTGCACCTTTGTGCTACGCTGGGTACATGGTCCAAATATGGGTCATCTGTCAACGGTAAACATTAATAATATATGGCTAATTCAATCCGCTGCGCAACTTGATTTCAGAGTGGCATCCTTTGCAAAGATGGCAAAGGAGAAACATGAAATTGTTTCTGATAAATCTGGTGCAATTTCTGGAGGCAACAGTTCATTGGGTAATGAAACTTGGGATGGTATTTGTGTTGAAGAAAATTGTTCCTCATCCCTCCTCGAAAGGCTCGAATCAAGTTTGTTTTGTCTCGTGCTGCAGGCAAGTTATTGTCTATAACGTTTCTAATATATATATATATATTTTCCCGACCATTTTCGGTATGCTATATCTCACCCTAGCCTCCCCACTCCAATGACGGGTTCTCATGCATTACTAATTACTGTTGCATGCATGATCTCAGTTTGAAGCTGCATTTGCTTGATTTTTAGGAAACAGAGCGTTCCAGACAATTTGGTAGTAATTGTGATGGTCTGTTCCCTGAAACTGACGTTCCTCTCAAGGTTGGACAAGCAAATCAGTACCTGAGGTTGTTGCAGGGACAGTTTCGTGAGCTTCATGCCAAGCTTGATAGGATTGAAGCTCGGCTCCATCAATCAGAGGATGATGGAGATGAGGATTGGTCATTAGTTGCTTAGGTTTTTAATTTTGTTGATGTGATATCTATCAGGGATTTTTATTTATTTATTTATTTTTTTTTTTTGAGGTGATGGATTTTACTTTTTCATGATATTTATTCCTTTATTTCCAATTTTCTGTCCTATGGTAACTTTGTTGGCATTATTGTAGTCATTTAACATATCTAGATGGTTTTCAGCTTATTGATTCATTATTATTTTCCTCACCTTCTGTAAGTTTTGTTCCTTAATGATGGTTCGAAAAAGCTTTATTTTAAATAATTTGCTTAATAAGTAAAGGGAATGTTTGGTATGCGTTTTATTTTTATTGTTTTTATTTTTATCGGGTAGTGTAATAGTGAACGGTGAAAAAAATATGTCAATGCTGAGATGTTTTGTGAGTAGTAGCCAAAACTCAAAACACCAATTTGGTATTTTTACATGTTCAGCACTGTAACAACGGGTACTGCAGCGATGGACAGTAATAAATAATATAAATATTTTGTTACCTCTTAAATGACATTTTAAAATTAACCATTATATTTTTCAAACTTACAATACTATTTTGTTAAATATGTTTTCATATTTTTTCTTAAAAAAAATCTTACAACAAATGGACGTTACCAAACATACTTCCGATTACTATTCAAATCACTCTACAACAAAATACTTGTTTTGTTTTTGGTTAAAACAAAACGCCAAAAATAAAACGCGAACCAATCATAGCCTAAGTCATAAAAACATTATCAATAGATATTGTTCTCACGCTCTGTGCACTCTTTCTCCCGTTTTTATTATTTATGATTTAATTTTCTCGCTTTCACTCTCTTATTTTCAAATTCGTTCCCCTTTTTGCTCCATAAGTTGGAAAATTCTGTTGGTTGATTTTGGTCAGTAATACAAGGTAAGTGATCCATACTGGATGACTGACCGGCTGGGAAAAAAAAGGGTTGCATCACCAAGTTTTGCCAGGTTGTCTAAATTCTGGCATCAGATTTAAAATCAATAAGTCAGAACATAACACCGTTGGCCACTTGGCTTCTACCATTAAGTGTTAATAAGTGATTCCTTATTTCGAGTTATAAGTAATATTAAAAAGTGTACTTAGTTATTATGGATTTCTTTTTTCTTTTTTTAATCTTACGTAACTGTTTTTTTTTTTTTTGTTTTTTGACTTTGTGTAAAACGAATTGAAACCCACTTTTGTAATTACCTTTATTAAAAACCTAGCTCCATCAAAATACATGTTGAAAAATAATTTAATTACAAATACAATTAAACATTTATTTGTCACATTTTTTTTTTAATAAATAAAATCACATACATTCACAATCAATATGCTCTGTGAATTACTTCGTAAAAGGAAAATGCAGTAACAAGTGTTACAGTATATTTTTTAGAAGGTTTTGTGTGACGTGTGAGAGAGGCGCATAAAGGTTACTTTTTGTCTACAAAATTTTAGACTTTTTAACGTGAGATGTGTGTGACAGTACCTCGTTGCCACATTAGCATTCAAGATGGAGTACGAGTCACATGACAATGCCATAGGAGGGAACGCATGCGCACGCGAAGTTCTCTCTCTCGCATTCTTCTGGAACTGAAAGGTCTCCCTCTCTCTCTCTCTCTGCATATATAGATACATATATGTAGCGATAAACATACAGAGATCAGAAAAATGAAGCGTTCCGGCGACGAATCGGCCGACATTTCGGCGCACGACCTGGAATACCGATCAACAGCCGACGACGCTTGGTACTGCGTCCAAGTGGTTCTCGAAAGCGAGTCGTTCATGGTCAATTTTGTGGACTTCGTCGAAGCGATGAACGAGAGATTTAATGCTGGGGATTTTCAGACCCTCCAAGCCGTCGACGACTTTGTTCGCCGCTTTCGACCGGTTTCGGCTCAGGTACAGGACAGCCAGTGCTCCAAAATTGTCGAAGGCTTGACGGTCTGTTCCTCGTTCCGATTCAAATGCGACGACGTTCGCTTCTACGACGCCGTCGTCGAAGCGGTTAGTACTTTATATCTTGATTTCAGGCTTAATTGTGTACTACTATATATAGATATATATACACATCGTACTTGTTATGAATATCTAGAAATGGGAATGTTCATTGTTTGATTTTTAGACCTATTTTATATCTAGTACAGATCCAGAATTGGGTTTTTGATATATGTACTTGTTCTTTGGTTATAAAATTTGATTATAATTCTTCAACTTTTAGACCTCCTACTTTGTATCTTGTTCTGGTTATGAATTTATAGAATTGGATCTTTCATTTATGTAGCTATTATTTGATTTTTGGAACTTCTACTTTATATCTAGCTCCTTATGAATATCTAGAATTTGGTATTTCATATATGTAGCTATTCTTTGATTCTCAGACCTTCTACTTGTGAGAAGGTAAATAGCTTAATGACAAAGACTCTCACCTCACATCTTGGAGTTCGGGAGTTTGAATCCCCTTGGGACCACTCCCATGAGAATTTTGCCCCGGTGGTGGATTATGGGGTGCTCTAAGAGACCCGACACTACTATTGTCCCAAAAAAATAAAAGAAAGAAAAGGGTAAGGTGGTAACAAACTAGTTAAATTCATTTCTTAGGGTTTACTCCTCTAGTTAAATTAATTTTTTAGGGTTTACTTCTCTGTAATTTTGTATGGACTTGGATTTGATAGGTGCATTACGAGGAGCATTCATTTGCGAAAGCAGAAGAGGAGTGTATGTGCACCTTTGTGCTGTGCTGGCAACATGGTCCGAATTTGGGTAATCTGACATTTGCGAGAATTGCTAATATATGCACAATTCAATCTGCCACACGACCTGATTTCAAAGTGGCATCCTTTGCAAAGATGGCAAGGGAGAAACTTGAAATTGCTCCTCACAAATCTGGTGCAATTTCTGAAGGCGAATTTTCATTGGGTAATAAATCTAATGGTGGTATATGTAAAAGGGCTAGCCCGGTGCACAAGGGTTCCGTCTCTGCAGGGTCTGGGGAGGGTTTGTTTCGTCATGGGCTGCAGGCAAGCGTACGATGTTCTAATATTTTTTTACTTTTTTAGTGTAAAGGAACTCAAATAGCTATAAACTATTGCATACATGATCTTAGTTTGAAGTTATGTTTGTTTGTTTGTTTTTTTTGTAGAAAACAGAGAGTACTAGGCAGTTTGGTAGTGCAGTAAGAACAACTGAAGGTTTGTTCATACCTTCCTTATGTGCTATTAATAATAAAGTACTGTAATTTATTATGACAAAGTACATGGTCCATTTCTTCTTTTCCTGAAAGGCAGGGTGGTTAAGGACTGATCAAGATCGAGACATCGGTGGAGAATCTTTAAACATGAATGGCACTGAGGAAACTCGCAGTCACCATTTTATATTAATAGAGAATTTGGAGAGAGATTTGTCCCCGTTGTCAATTATGAAATTCATACAAAAACAAACTTCTATCACACCACTAGCATATGTTTTTCCAAGTTTGTCATCAGAGGCATATGCAAGGGGTTTAATTGTATTGGATTGCGAAAAGAAGCATAAGAACGTATATCAGTTTTTGGATAATCCTGATCACGTCATAATGTCTACAAAGGGAAGGTATGTCTTATCATCATTAAAAGCTCTTTGTTCATAATGTATTCCTTTATTCCCATTTTTCCATCCTATGGTTACTTTGTTGGCGTTATTGTAGTCATTTAAAATGTCTGGTTGTTTTTCAGCTCATTGATGCATTACTTTTTTTTCCCGAGTACTACGATAACACTGTAAAGTTTGGTTCCTTAATGCCGGTTCAGAGAAAGCTCTATTTCAATATAATTTGTTTAATTATACATTTGGTAGTAGAATTCCCTTGGTTTATTTTGGTCAATGATGTGGATTGCTTCATAGATGTTCCTTTCACGATGCAACAGGGAGCAATATTGGGTGGTTGATCACTTGATCTGGTGTTTGAGATTATTAGACCAGCTGCTTAGTCACTGGTTTTGGGCTAGGCTAACTTTGACCTCTTGTCAGTATTTTTTAAAATCATTAGTAGCATGACAGTAGTACTGTTTATTACATATTAAATTTTATCCCAGTGGTCAAAAATATTTTTTGTTATATAACGTCTCGCAGTGAAAGAGCAAAGAGAACATAGAAAAAATAATTGAAGTATTTATTATGATTGTATGGCCTAGCTCAAATTGAAGTGTTATCATCTCTCTCTCTCTCTATCTCTCTCTCTCTCTCTCTCTCACAGACACACACACACACACACGCGGATACATCTACTTTGACAAGTAACACAATTGTATGTATATACATTCGTAGTCATGCGTGATGTTTTTCTTGTATTGTAATGGGGGCCTGTCAATATTACCCTGTGATAAATATTACATATAATTTGTTGTAGGGTGGTCACTAGCATGCCGTAAAAAAGACTGCCTATCAATATTACCCTGTGATCCTGATAGGGATTTTAACAACCATGGTTAACTGGGAGGGTTCTCTTGGTACACTCACAAGAATTTAAGCTTTCAGAACCAACTTAAATCAGTTTTTGTTCTAGAAATTGTTTATACTCTGGTTGCAACATATGCTGTAAGGGTTCAGGTCATAAAAGTTACTTGCATAAAATGTAGTGTGTTTGTTTTTTCAATTGCCGATAAGTACACTCATTAATTCATTTATGCAGGCCATGGGTTATCAGTGAAAAATCATTGAGGCATGCAACCTTTAGAACGAAATTTGAGAGCTTGATAAAATATCAGGTAAGAAAAGCTTTACTGTTGCACCGGTACACGATAATTTGAGAGCTTGATAAATTATCAGGTAAGAAAAGCTTTACTGTTGCACAGGTACAGGATGATTGGAAGAGAGAAGCAGTGTGTGTTTTGGGTGGTTGTTTTGTGTGTGTGTGTGTGGGGGGGGGGGGGGGGGGGGGGGGGGGTGGGTGGTGTGGGGGTGTGGGGGGGTCTTATTATAAGATGACAGCCCTTACTTAGCAATCAAGTGTCTTAATTTGACAATTTAGTCATTTCGTTTGAATGAAAAAATAAATGGAGACAGTGTGAAATAGAAATTTGAAAATGAATAAAAGCATTTGGATACGGTTACATACTTCTTTTTGGAATGTATAGTAAAAAATTTTAACATGAAAAGAAATAAAGAAGCTATGGGAGCTTCTAGGTGGAATACTGAGGCTGCTTGCCCTATGTGTTATTGTAATGATTGTTCATTAATTAGGGAGGGAGTGAAGTTGGTAATTTTTTTCATGATGGAGGAGAAAACAATGTTTAGGTAAATTTACAGCAGGGGTATGAGTTGATAAAAAGGCTTGCCTAAATAACAGTTTTAGAAAAGTTAACTATTCTATTAATTAATGTCAATTGTGGACTCTGTATGTCTCTGATAATAATTTTCAGCATTTACTTTTTGCAGCATAAAATTCAGAATAAAGTCATTGATGATGAGTTAAAGATCGTTAATTCAGGAACTGAAGAGTACAGGACAGCTAAGCGTCTAAAGAATTTACACAAGGACTTTGTGGATCATCAAAAGCGACTTCACTGGAGGTTGGCTTCGGAGGAAAGGAAGATCTTGCAGTTGAAAGATTAAACATCAGGTTTAGTGATCATAACACATGAAGGTAAGAAACTGGATTTGTTATACTAGTAGTTATTGGTCTTAATTGATGACTTATAACATTTAAAGCTAATTTTGACACATGTGAGGTGTGATCGCTAAGAACTTTGGTAACATCTATGATCTCAAAATGTGAATGCAGCTTAACAATACAGTGGTGGGAGTTCAATGATAGAAATGAATCAAGAAGTTCAGCTCATTGAACTTGAACAGAGAGCCTTTCATATAGACCTTCTTAAATGAAGGCGCGCAGTTTTGTTTTGAATTTGAGATGCAGTATATGGTTATCTAAAGAAAGAGAGATGATACCTCTGTGACTGCATCCCACACTTGCCATTTCTGCATATTTTATTGGTCATTTAAGGTGACTGATGTTTCAGTTGCTATCTTTTTGGATATACTGCTACTTAATAAAATATAAAGATGCAGAATGGAATTTACCCAATAAAGAAGCATCTAATTTTGCTTGGATACCTAACCATAGGTTTTATATTATTGTCCTTTTATGTTAACATCAATAATATTAGTATTAATGCCCTTGTTTTCTTCGTGTTTTAGATTGATCAGGATGTTCTCTGAGTCACAAAGGATCTAGTTTAGTTGCAATCAAGCAGGGACCGAGATTAGTGGCCTACTTGAAGACAACAAGGAGTGCATCCAGGCATAACCATTGTTAAACAAAAGCTTAGATACCCACTGATTCCCATACCTTGTTATACTTTGCTTTCAATGTTCTAGCTAGTTAGCATGACATGTTGTTGCTTCACTTGTATGGCATGAGAACTTGAGGGGGTTGTGTTTTGTTGTTTGTGCATGTTAAATCTTCACTTAAGCAGAAAATTCATCAATGGAAAGAACATACATTTTTCCTAGTTCTACACATTCCCTTCTGTTATTGATTGGAAATGGACGTGTCAATGTGTACTTATTTGATTGCTTATTCTAATTGGATCAAAACAACTTCCTGGAAGCAGAATTTCTAATTTAATCCTTAGCAGAGCTGTGTTTAGCGAAAAGGTATTTAGTGTGCCTGGTGCACACAACACGCCCGAGAACAGACGACTCTGATGGCCCGGTGCTCGGTGCATCGGCCACACTGAAAATATTTTCCTGTTTCGCAGCCTTCCCATCCCGTTATACATTTCAAGCAGTGGTTAAAATCTAGCTTCTTATTACCACACAACCAGCACAAGCTCATCATTGATCTCGACTTGGTTGGGTTAGGCACAATGGACTCGAATGTAATCTCCCACTCTAGAAAAATAAAAAAGAATTACACATGATTTTGTCATCTTACGTAAGAGAAAAATTAGGTAAGACTCGCAAATAAGTGATAATAGACTAGCGTGGTTTGGGTACATATATAAATTTTCATAGAAGCTAATAGACAAAAATAAAGTAGATTGGAGTTTAATTTTATTTTAGATCAGAGTAGAGGAGCAGCATAACTAATATGGAATGAAGTTATTGAAAATAATTTTTGATACATAAAACATAGTATGTGACATGATAGATAATAGAAAAGAATGAAAATAGAGAATTTATGGGATTGATTCAATTCATACAAGAATAAGACAAAAATAATTGGTTGAATGTAATAAAATATTCTGAAAATTTGAAAAAGAATGAATGTGCTGTTGCTTGGTTAAGTGGGTGTTTGGGATTGCTTCTCTATTATTGGAAAACACTTTTATTTTAAAAAATTGCGGTGTAATGTCTTTGGTGAAAAATAAAGCTTTTGTAAATGGTAGACGTTAGGTATAAAAAGCGCGTTTAAGTGAAGATGGGAATCGTAGCTTTTAAAATTATGTTATGGTAGAGGTCCATATTTTTAGGTAACTATTTTTCTTATAGACAATTTAATCATTTTATAATTTTTATAAATATAATTATATCCCTTCTACAAACAAATAGCAAACAATATGGACTTAATACGATTATTAATTGTGGTTAAAGTGTTTAGTTTTATTTTATGAAATGTTATCTATATTGCAAAATATTATATTATTAAATTTCATTATTAGATAGCATATGAACAAATTTGTTTAATTTATTCCAAATCAGATACAAATTAATCATCATTAAAATATGTTTAACTCATTTATATTTTAGTACTCAATACAAATTTGATATCATAAATGTGATATTTAAAAAAAATAAATAAAAAAAATACAAGTTGATCTGTATAGATTATTGAACTCAATAAAATTTTATAATATTTAATATTAGGGAATTAGTATATGTTTAGTGTAAGGATAATATAGTAAAATTAGTAATAAAAGTACTTTAAACCAAACAAATTTGAAAGTGCTTTGAGTATAAAAGTACTTTATACAGCGTGTCACTAAACGCTTAAGTGCATCTTACTGACAGCACTCTTATAATAGCTTTACTATTAAAAATGCTTAAGTGCATCTTAGTGACAGCACTCTTATAACAACTCTACTATTAAAAACGCTTTTAACATTATAAAGTAATCCCAAACTGGCTCTAAAATCTTAATAAAAAACATTTTCGCACTATATACTCGGTAGATTTTCGACTCTCTCATAAGATTACTGTTTGTTTTATACAGACAGCTTCAGGAAAATGAGCATTACATATCAGACAAAAGACCAAAACTTACCATATACATATATATATATCTACTCCGTAAAAGATTTTACGCAAAGGAGGAGTAAAAAAGAACGTATTAATTTCCGGAAAAAGAAGGTTGACAGAGATATATATATATTTATATATATACAGTACATATATATGTATGTAACATTCTAATATTTTTTTAGAGTACACAGTACATGTAGCAGTAACACGCACCAGGCACCACTCTCAGAAACGATACGAACAAGGGGAACGCACCACTCAGAAGTTTTGTCTCGCTTTCTTCTCCAACAGAACTCTCTCTCTCTCTTCATATATACATACACACATATAAATACAGATATACATACAGACGACATTTTAATATTTTTGAATACTCAGAAACGATACAGAGATCAGAAAAATGATTCGTTCCAGTGACGACGAGTGGACCGACGTTGAGGCTTACGACCTGGAGTTCCGATCAGCAGGGGACGAAGACGCTTGGTTCAGCGTCCGAGGGCTTCTCGAAGGCGAGACATTCCTCATCAAGTTTTTGGGCTTCCTCGAATCGTCCGACCTGAGATTCAACGCCGGCGATTTCCAGACCCTCCAAGCCGTCGACGAATTCGTTCGCCGCTTTCGACCTGTTTCGGCTCAGGTACAGGACAGCGAGTGCTCCAAAATCGTCCAAGGCTTGACGGTCTGTTCCTCATACGAATTCAAATGTGACGACGTCCGTTTCTACGACGCCGTCGTCGATGCTGTGAGTCGACTTTAGCTTTTTCTCCTATTTCTCTCAGTTGCCCTAATCTCTGTGTAACATTGTGATTTCAAGCTATATAAATAAATATAGATGGTTTATTTTCACACATATCGTACTGGTTAGGAATCTCTAGAAATGGGTATTTCACGTTTGTAGCTACCTTTGTTTATTAGAGTAGAATTTATTAGAGCTTCTACTGTATATCTTGTTCTGGTTATGAGTCTCCAGAGTTGAGTCTTTCATGTTTGTTGCTGTTAGAAATTCTATATTATATCTCGTACCGGTCATGAATATCTAGAATTTGGAATTTTATTTATGTAGCTATTCTTTGATTTTTAGACCTTCTACGTTTGAGAGTTTAAATGTAACAAATAAAAAATTGAAAACAAGACCCAGAAAATCGATGCTTACCAGCTTTGGATACTCGGCCATTTTCTATCACTTTCTAGCATACACAGAAAATGAAGGAAAGTGGAAGAAAAAGAAAAGGAAAGACGTGTATGCAGGGAGAGAGATTAGACACGATGTCACCAGTTTGCGTATTGAATTGGGCACTAGATATCAATAATATGATCCATTGAAAATTGAAATGAAAAACAGAGCATCCCCAATTAGTCGAATTTGTTGCTACAATTGGTTAAAAAATTCCAAACCTTGACTGACCAATCCATGACTTCTTCTTCTTCTTCTTCAATACCTGCTAATTAACTGCTCTTCCATCACTGTAGAAAAGAAATCGGGAGTACACATCTTTAATGTTTTATTGGATTGGAGTTGATAGGTACACCATGAGCAGCATTCATTTAAGAAAGAAGAAGAGTGTATGTGCACCTTCGTGCTATGCTGGAAACATGGTCCAAATGTGGGTAATCTGACATTTGCAAATATTGCTAGTATATGCCTAATCCAATCTGTCGAGCAACTCAATTCCAGAGTGGCATCATTTGCAAAGATAGCGAAGGAGAAAATTGAAATTGCTTCTCTTAAATCTGGTGCAATTTCTGAGTCAAGTTTGCTTCATCATGGGCTGCAGGCAAGTTATTGTTTATGATGTTCTAATTTTTTTTATTTTTTTGGTGTAAAGTAACCCAAATGACTATAAACTAAGTAGAGTTGAAAGTTACTATTGTATACATGATCTTAGTTTGAAGCTAAGTTTGCTTGTTTTGTAGGAAACAGAGCCTTCCAGACAATTTGGTAGTGCAGGAAGGACAACTGAAGGTTTGTTCTTAACCTTTTTTTTTTCCTAGTTGTTTCGTAACCTTTTATATGCTATAAATAATAAAGTCTATTATGACAAATTACGTGGTCTGATTCTTCTTTTCCTGAAAGGCAGGGTGGTTATACAAATGTCATGAAAGGACTGATCAAGATCGAGACTTTGGTGGGGAATCTTTCATCATGAATGGCACCGAGGAAACTGGCGGTCAACGTTTTATATTAATCGAGAATTTGGAGATAGATCTGTCACCTTTGTCAATTATGGAATTCATACACAAACATACTTCTATCTCACCACTAGCATATGTTTTTCCAAGTTTGTCATCAGAGTCATTTGCAAGGGGTGCAATTGTATTGGATTGCAAAAAGAAGCATAAGAACGTATATCAGTTTTTAGATAATCATGATCATGTTATAACGTCTACAAAGGGAAGGTATGGCTTATCGTCATTGAAAGCTCTTTGTCCATAATTTATTCCTTTATTTCCAATTTTCAGTCCTATGTTTACTTTTGTTGGCATTGGTGTAGTCATTTAACATGTCTGGTTGTTTTTCAGCTCATTGATGCATTACCATTTCCCAGACTACTCATTTAACTCTGTAAAAGTTTGGTTCCTTAATGCTGGTTCAGACAAAGCTCTATTTCAAATAGTTTGTTCAATTATACAGTGACTCTGTAAAAATTTGGTTCCTTAATGCTAGTTTAGAGATTGTTCTATTTTAAATGGTTTGTTGCTTTGTAGATGTTCCTTTCATGATGCAACAGGGAGCATTATTGGGTAGTTGATCTAGTGCTTTGAGATTATTAGACCAGCTGCTTACCACTGGTTTTGGGCTAGTCTAATTTTACCTCCTTCCTTGTCAGTATTTTTAAAATCATCAAAAGCATGACAATAAACTGTTGGAAACGGGGGCATTAAAACATAAACTTTGGATGAGATTATGAATAGATTTCGTTAAGAATTATTTGCGGATTTATAGACGAGCGCATTCCTCTCCGCATGGAGATGAACGTGGTATATTTATTTTCTCAAATCCGTTACCGGGTGAATGAAAAATTAGCTCTAAAGTAAAGTGTTTGATAAGCCTAAATGGGTTTGCAAAATGTGAAAAATGTTTGTCCCACATCGAAAAAATATTAAAACCTAAAGGCACCCTGAGGCCTATATAAAGCCCCCCTTGAGGTCATTCCAAAGCACTCCAATTCAGAATCTTTTTCTCTAATTTTGAATTCTCTCCTTTCTCTTCTTCTATAAGTGTCTGTGGGTACGAACCCTTGTCTTTGAGTTTGAGCCTTAGTCAGTCACTTTTAGTTCAAGTTTAATCAGTCACTCTGAGTTCGAGTCAGAGAGTACTACACCGAGTCAATTCGCCTATTCCTTTGGTTTGTAGTGCTACTACCGAAGGAAGTAAAAGTTGTTGTATCCTGGGAGATAGACGCCACTGAGTCCGTTAGCACCATAGCGGGGCGAATTTGTCTTAAGGACAGAATCAAATTCTAACCTCGACTTATTTCCAGGTTCTTTTATTTTTGTTTTATTTTATAAGATATTATATATATAGATTTAAATAGTAATACTATAGTGTATGGTATACTTAGACCATATTTTTGGACTACAATCTTAAGACAGACTCTGCTTATACTATAGTTTAATTATTTAAATATTGTTGTTATTTTATTTCTGTAAATTTGATTGTGGTCTGTATATTTAATATATATTTGACGAATGGCAAGTATAAATACTACTATGCTTAATGTTCCCGTCAGTCATGGGAGAAGCCCGAAAAATTTAATGGGGCGGAATTTAAAAGGTGGTAATAGAAAATGATATTCTACCTTACAACTCTATATTTGAGCAAGTACCTAGCTGAAACTGCCCCAGTGCTAGAAGAGGGAGAAACTGACATTACAAAGCTAGGAGTTGTTAATGCATGGAAGCATGGAGACTTCCTATAGAGAAACTACATCCTCAATGGATTGGACAACACTCTATATAATGTGTACAGTCCAATGAATACTGCTATAGAGCGAAGTACTGAACCTCTAGCATTAATTCACAATGATATCTGTGACTTTAAATCTGTGCCAACCAGAGGTGGAAAAAGTATTTCATTACTTTTATTGATGATTGCACAAGATACTGTTATGTATACTTGTTAAGAAGCAAAGATGAAGCCTTGGAAATGTTTAAACATTACAAGAATGAGGTTGAGAATCAACTTGGCAAAAAGAGAGGTGGTGAATACGAAGTACCATTCATTGACATTTGCTCAGAACATGGTATTATTCACCAAACTACCGCTCCTTATTCACCTTAACAAAATGGTGTTGCTGAACACAAAAACCGTACCTTAAAAGAAATGATGAATGCTATGTTGATAAGTTCTGGTTTAAATCAGAATTTGTGAGGGGAAGCTTTGCTTTTTGCTAACTGTGTTCTCAACAAAATATCTCAAAAGAAAACAAATGTGATACCTTATAAATTATGGAAAGGTCAAAAACCTTCCTATAAATTTTTAAAAGTGTTGGGGCGTCTAGCTAAGGTTGCGGTTCCTACTCCTAAGAAAGTTAAAATAGGACCAAAAACCTTTGATGGTATTTTCATAGGCTATGCACATAATAGTAGTACATATCGTTTCCTTGTGCATAAATTAGACATTCCTGACATCCATGCCAATATAATTATTGAGTCAAGGAATGCTTGTTTCTTTGAGGATATATTTCCTTGTAAAAATCCTCTTAAAAGAAATCATGATATTGCTAATAGCAATATACAAGAAAATATAGACCAAGAGTCTATAGATGATGAAAATAAGGAAGAATCTAGATGTAGCAAAAGAGTTAGAACGTCTAAGTCATTTGGTCCTGATTTTCTGACATATATATTGGAGAATGAGCCACAAAGTTATAAGGAAGCTGTGTCTTCTCCTGAAACTCCTTTATGGAAAGAAGCCATAAATAGTGAAATTGAATCCATCATGCAAAATTATACTTGGAAGTTGGTGGATCTTCCTCCTGATACAAAACCTTTAGGGTATAAGTGGATTTTCAAGAGGAAAATGAAGCCTGATGGTTCAATAGATAAATATAAAGTTAAGCTTGTTGCTAAGGGATACAGACAAGGAGAAGGCTTGGATTATTTTGATACATATTCACCAGTCATAAGAATAACATCCATTAGATTGTTACTAGCTATTGCGTCATTGCAAAATTTAGAGATACATCAAATGGATGTTAAGACTGCATTCTTGAATGGTGAATTAGAGGAGAAAATCTATATGGAACAACATGAAGGTTTTATTGTTCCAGGAAAAGAAAAGAAAGTGTGCAAACTTGTAAAATCCTTATATGGATTAAAACAAGCACCTAAACAATGGCATGAAAAATTTGACAAAGTGATGTTATTGTTCAAACTGGAGAGAGAGAGAGAGATCATGGTGGCTACAGGAAATGTGTATCTCATATGTATAAAACCCTGAGCCTACAGTGGCTTATATAAAGATACAAGACTTAGCTAATTACACAATTACCCTACCAACAATATGCAATTACATAATGACCCAAAATATTCTAACACTCCCCCTCAAGCTGGAGAGTATATATCACATAATCTCAGCTTGGAACAGATAGTCCTTAACCAATTATGACGCAATACTTTGGTAAACATATTAGCTAATTGATCTTCAGACTTCACAAATGGAGTAGAGATGCTCCCACTTAATATTTTTTTTCGAATGAAGTGACAATCAACTTTAATATGTTTGGTCCTCTCATAAAACACGGGATTTGATGCAATGTGAACAGTTGCTTGATTATCACAGAACAATGAAGTAGGAGTTTCAACTGTCAACCCAAGTTCTTTTAGAAAATGTTGTATCCAAGTCAACTCACTAGTGGTATGGGCCATTGCCCTGTACTCAGCTTCAGCACTAGATTGAGCTACCACCGTTTGCTTTTTACTTTTCCATGTAACAAGATTTCCTCCTACAAATGTGCAGTAGCCTGTAGTAGATCTCCTGTCTGAAGGAGAACCAACCCAGTAAGCATTTGTAAAACCTTCCACCCTGAGACGACCATTTGATTTATATAGTAACCCAAAACCTGGAGCTTGCTTGAGATATCGGATAATCCGAAGAGCAGCAACCCAATGTGGCATTCTAGGAGCTCCCATGAATTGACTTACAACACTAACTGCATATAAAATATCAGGTCGAGTGATAATGAGATAAATTAATTTCCCAACAAGGCGAGGAAATCTGCTCGGGTCATTAAATAGATCACCCTCATCAGACACAAGTTTTGTATTTGAATCCATAGGAGCATCAACTGGACGACCACCCAACATACCTGTTTCTTCTAATAAGTCTAACACATATTTGCGTTGAGATAAACTTATACCCTTCTTGGATCTAGCAACTTCAATGCCTAAGAAATACATAAGTTTAACCAAGTCTTTAGTATGGAATCGATTTTGCAGAAACAACTTCAACTTAGCAATGCCTTCGAAATCATCACCCGTGATCACTATATCATCTACATACACCACAAGAAAAATGAAGCCAGCTTTAGTGCGCGGTGAAGTACTGAATGATTGATCTGGCATCTGTTAAGACCAAATTCTAATGCCGCCTTAGAGAATTTTCCAAACCAAGCTCGTGGAGATTGTTTCAATTTATACAGGCCTTTTTAAGGCAACAAACAGTGTGACGATACTCCCCCTGAGCAACAAACCCAGGTGGTTGCTCCATATAAACTTCTTCAACTAAGTCACCATGCAAGAAGGCATTCTTGACATCCAATTGAAACAACGGCCAGTTACAATTGGCAGCAATGGAAATAAGTACCCGAATAGAAGAAATCTTGGCAACAGGAGAAAAGGTCTCATCGTAGTCAATACCATAAGTCTGTATGTACCCTTTTGCCACCAGACGAGCCTTCAACCGCTCAATAGACCCATCGTGAAGGTATTTAACAGTGTTGACCCACTTATAACCAACCGTTTTGGAGCCCGGAGGTAAGGGAACAAGATCCCAAGTCCGATTACGGTGAAGGACATCCATTTCATCTACCATGGCTGTGTGCCAATCTGAATTAGAAAGAGCATCCTGCAAAGTCTTGGGAACAAAAGTAGCAGACATTTTGGATAAAAAACAAGATAAAGAGGATGAAACATTATGGTTGGAGACAAAGTTAGAAATGGGATGTGCAGTAACACATGACCGAATACCTTTATGGAGAACAATAGGCAAATCATTAGGCAAAGTAGATGGCGTCGGATCCGAAGACTCTGAAGGAGATGGAGGGAGCGAAGTAGGCGGTCGAGGTCATCAAGTATAAACCTGTAAGGGGACAACGGATCGAGGAGGTGTGGGAGCAGGAACTAGAGAGGGAACAGTTGGCATAGGTGGCTCAAGAGTAATATCGAGAGGGGTA